CAATCAATTACAATAAAAAAATCGTCACGCAAGTTAAAAAAAAGTTTTTTTGCACAATTATCATCACTCAAGCGTAATTGATTTGTCGAACAATTATATATATGTCTTCGTTTTAATAAAATTTTTGGAATTATAACTTCATTTGGTATTTCCATTCGTGAAGTTTCAATACAATTTTTTCATACACAATATTCTTTGGAAAACATAAGCGCGCGCTTTCTCTGTGGGCCATCTGATGGCCGGGGAACTTTAATCCAACAACACACAGTGGTGCATGGTGTTTGTCACAAGGTATTACTGCTTTTCACGTTGCTAGCTAGCATATTTTGACAGCTCGAATATTATAAGTAAGAAGAGTTGAAGTTAAGTATACCAAGGAGAAGAGAAAAGAAATGAAAAATAGAAATCATTGAAGTTTTAGCAGAAACAGACACAGCAGCAGCTGAAGCTGTACGAGGTGAAAATCCCTCATAGGAATTAGCCCAGCCGATGAATAAATAGCCAATAAATTGTTCACGTATTCTTATTGCATTACATTTATTGTCATTTTTCATAAGTACATCCAAAATGTGAATAGCGCGTTTTTATCGCAATTTGCCACGAAGCTTTGAATCAACTAAATTAATTGGAATCGATTATGTTTTACACAGAAATTTTTCCTTTAGATGGTATTAGAAAAAAGTTACAAACTAACTCTTTTTATTGAAAAAATGAGTTCATTAAAATTAGACATAAAATGCTGGTGCATATACAAGTGTATAAACTAATAAAAGGGAAAAATTCTTTGGTTTTTATCGTAAAACGTTGCGCTTAATTTTTTTTTTCAATAGCATATATAACCGAATGATGCTTGAGGTCTCATTTTTTATCATGAGTAAACGTATATTGATGTAGGTATGACTCAACGTGTGAATTTAATACAGATAAATGTCGCTGTCGACAATGTATCTGTATCCCCTGTGATTCTCATATACGGCCCATTTTCTGTAAATTCGAATGTCAAATTTGTTTTTTGTTCTGATCTGAAAAACGTCACTAGTTTTCAATGTCACTCACCTTTCCGAACTTCTTTAAAATTTTTGGGAACTTCGGGGAATTTTCGGGGATTATCCTTTTTCAGAGGCTCGAAGTGAGAATTTCTCCGAAATTTGTACTTCAATGTTTACTAATACCTCTTAAATACTTATAATCTTGACTAAAATCCGGTGGCCACGAAAATTCGAGGGTATAGAAGAAATTTTGAAAAAATTTCAAACCAAAATATTGTAGTCCTTCTCGATTCATAGACAATCAATCATATACAATATCTATTATACACCCGCACAAGCTGCGGTACCGCGAGCGACGAATTCGAAGTTTTTTCTGACAATGATTCAAAGCTCTCCAGACACCTACGTTACGCACGTGTGTCTATGAGTGTGGGTTCGTATATACAGGAAAATTAGCTAAAAAATGTTTCAAACCAGAGATTTGTGATAAAGTGGTGGGTAATTTTATAAAGCTACTTTTTCAGTATTCTTAAAAAAATTGTATAAATTATTACCAGAAAGAAGCATAAAAATTAGCGATTACTTCGGTTAGAAAAACCGAAGTTATTTTTATTTAAAATTTTTTTGAATATTCTTTTCCACCCTATGGAACATCGTTTCTTTTAGAAAAGCTAATAAAACTTTATAAACTCTATAAACTTTTATTAATTAATAAAAACATTCGGATTTGAGACTCTTATAAAAGTTAATAAAGGTTTACAGAAGCTAGTTTATAAAATTTCAGCAGAGTTAATGGCGATTTTGAGTTTTTTTCATTTTTCAGTTACAATAATGTCAACTTTAATAAATAGTTATGAACAGTAAATAAAAACTATTTCATGATTATAAAAGATAATAAAATTTCATAAAAGTTTTTAAAAGTTTATAGATCTTTCTATTTAGCAATTTTGAATTCTGAATTATAAAATATAAAAATGTATAAACTTTTTATAATAGTTTATAAACCTAATAAGAATTTTATTTTAGTTTATAAAAGTTTATGTAATTTATTTGATTTGTCGATGCTAGAACAACTGCGATATTTAAATTCTATCATGTTGTATTTTTCTTTTCTTTTGCCTCCTCTTAGAGGTAAGCTTTATGATATACTTTAAAATGATCTTTTCAACTAGGCCATTGTACGACAATTTTGTTTACATATTCATAGACTTCATTGAATTCTCAACAAATGGCTGTATGTGTCCTATATGTATATGTGTGTGGCAATTCATTCATAAATTCTATAAACTTTTATAAAATTTTATTAAATTTTACAGATTTTTAATTTTTTGTTGATAATTGTAACTATAAACATTCATAATTACCTTCAGCAGAGCCTCGAATCTGAATGTTTATATCAATTAATAAAAGTTTATAAAAGTTTATATGTAAATAATATATAATATATAATATATAATATATAAATAATATATAGTTCATATAAATAAGTATTACCTTTTTCAAGGGGCCAACTTGCTACAGTCGATTCGATTCTTCCGTCTTTACAGTGCAGGCACCGAGATTGCGCAGCCGCCTTCACCGCGTAGCGGTTTCGAGGGACGATTACAAAATCATTAGCCATCATATTGTTTACGATTTAGGTACCGATTTGTCTGTTAACACATCATCTTTACAATATTTGAAACAGTTTGAAATTTCAACTTGTCAACGATTCCTTTGAGAGATTTTTTTGCGAATAGATTGTTAATTTTAAGGGTAAGTTAAAGTCGCTCTACTTCGACTGCACTATTGACTTTATATCGTAATATCGTCGCGTCGAAAATTAATAATAAATCACTATATTACAGACGCGCATTTATTTTGCGCAGAGAAAAGAAAAACATTACGCATCGTTAATACCAGCGGATAAAAGATACGAACGATTGCTTGCAATTATACATGATTATTATCCCCGAAGCATCGCAATGACCTATATAGCACTTCAGGCACGCGTTAACGCGCGTACGTTTTTTTCACGAATGCTTATGTTTTATTAACACAATCGGTAAGTCAATCTCGTTGTAAACTTAAAGTATTGCATTTTTCGAGTTCATTGTCAAAAATGTATTTATTTTAAAAATTATCTAATTGATAAGCTGTTATTTGTTGAAACAACAAATCTTGAATTATCTTGTATTATTGAATGCAGCGCGACAGACGTTTTCTTAGATGATCGCGAAACTTGAACAATTATTGTGAAAATATAATCCCATAACCCGTTTTATAATCGTTATTATAAAATGACGACGCAACGTGAACTGCACTAGGATATAGGGGAACTAGGAACTCTTCAATGGGTTTTCCGATTGCTACTTTTTTTTAAAGTAATACCTAGGTAAATTGCACAATCGGTTCCAGTTTATTATGTGACAATTCTTTGACTTTGTGGAATTTTTCATCAAACTCCATTGTGCATAAATCAAATGCAATCTGTGATTCTTTCGACTGCAATCATCATTTTTTTCTTTCAGAAACGGCGGGAAGCTTCCGGATTATCTGCATTTAAATGAGAAAAAAATCACGAGTAAATAAAACTTATTACGCATGGAATATCAAATTACTTACTCGCAAATTCTGGAACTAAATTTTCTTCGTTGCGGCCCCTTATCTTTAAAATGAATTCAATTACTTGCAGATCAGTTTTCAAGTCTAGGTGATAGCCTTTGGTCTTGATTATTTGATAAATTTGTACAATTTTTAAAACGAACGGTGTTTACGTTACACGCCGCCAGGTGGCATCGACTCATGAATGTCGCTCTCACAAGTAATTAGGCGAATAGACGAGCATATATCGTATTTTTTTTACAGCTAATGCCGAACAAATTTTTGATGCCCTGTCTACTTGCATCTTGAATGTGGGTCAAAATAATACTTTTTTACAAAACCGTGCGCACGCATGACACCGATCTTGACGCACTTTTGGTATGTTATATTATATTACATACTAAAAAGGTCCCAAAACCAACATTTTAAATCCCCTCCCCCCTTCCAACCCCCCACTTCTGGTACAAACGTTTATTTTCTATCTACATTCATTCTGAAGGCCTGAAGTAATTAAAAAATCTGAAAAAATTCATAAAAATACTTTTCAACAACCCAAACAACCTTGAATTTTTTTCAGATTTTTGTGTACTCCAAGCCTTCAGATAAAATCATTAAAAACTCTGAAAAACGAAATACGGCGATATGAGCCGATATGAACTCAGACATTTTTTCAGTTTTTTATTGCTATGAAAAATACATCCTCAATTTTTTTTCAGATTTTTTCCAATTACCTAACACACCTTTTGAAGCAAAAAACTAGAAAAATTTTTTCCTAGTTTTTTTCGAAGCTCCGCATCGTCCTAAAATAATTATTTTCGTTAAAAAAGTGGTTTTTTCGAAAATCTATCGACACCGGTTCACGACACTTTTCAGAGATTCTGAATCCGGCTTTCTTTTCTTAAAGACTTGAACTTTAAGAATCACCATGACGTAAACGCGATTTCGATCATTTTTGCAAAAGCGAACCACCCTAATATACACTTTAAGCTCATAAAAAATCATAAATGAATTATAAATTCAAATGAAAAAAAATTCTAGCAAAAAACATCCTTTTTTTAGAAAATTTGCAATATTTTAAAATACATTATACGTCAAACTTATTGTAAACTCAAATTCGAATATTTTTTCGGGCTCTTTAGTAAAAGTTAACGCTTTTTACATTTTATTGAATACAGCACGACAGATGTTTTCTTGCCCGATCGCGAAGCTCGAACAATTATTATGAAAATATAAGTCTATAATCGTTCGTTTTGTAATCGTTCTTATAAAATGAGGACACAACGTGAACTGCATCTATTCGCGTATGGAAAATCAGTGGTGGGGGATAATGAGAGCCAAACAATGCGTGATGATATTCCAGCCACCGCAGTCTTTGCGAGAACATACAAGAAAACGGATGACGGGCATCGATTTATGTACCTGTTTTTTAGTTCAAGTAAATTAAAAAAAAAAAAAAAAAATGAAGCCTGTCGAAATCGAATAAAACTCAGTGTAAATGTTCTCTTATCGATAAAATCATCAACATGTTATCGGGATACTCAAAGTCGGAGTTTCTGCCGTTTTTCTCGAAATACGGCCACTACGTGTTCGCGATCATCGTCGTCGGCGTATCCGTCAGTTTTTTCGTCCAATTGTTGATCGACAAAACCAAACGCCGATCCAGCAAAGGTTCGCAGCTCTACTCTGCGAACAAATCGCTGGAACTCGCGCCGGATGAAGGTAAATATATCGACGATTCAAACATATCAATTTTACCCAAAAACTGTGTGTCGGTCAGAATTCGCCGAGACCGAGGAAGAAACGAAGGAAGAGGAGGACGGGCCGTATCTACCGCGAGACTTGAAACACGTGAAATACGTTTACGCGAGGCCGAGCGTCGACGAGATGATCGAAAAGTCGGCGGAGTTCTACGCCATCGCGAACGCTCGACGGACCCTGCGATTTTTCAGCTCCGAGCCCGTTCCCCGACAAGTCGTTCGCAATATCGTGAAAGCTGCCGGTAATTATAATAACCAAATCGGGTTCGACAAAAAAAAATGACTTGGCTCGATTCATTTATTTTTGTTTTTACGCAGGCACAGCACCGAGTGGCGCTCACACCGAGCCCTGGACGTTCTGCGTCGTGTCCAACGACGAGCTCAAACGTCAAATTCGCGAGATCGTCGAGCGCGAGGAGGAGATCAATTACAAGAAGCGCATGGGCAAGAGATGGACGGCCGATCTGAAGCCCCTGCGCACGGATTGGCACAAGGACTACCTGACCGAGGCGCCTTACCTGATTCTCGCGTTCAAGCAGGAGTACGGACGCCTACCGAACGGCGGGAAAAAGATACACTACTACAAGGATATGAGCGTCGCCATCGCCTGCGGCATACTGATAACGGCCATACAGGTGCGATCGACGTTCCAGCTAATTTTCATGACGATGGTGTATGAGAAAAATGAATAAAAATGATTCGTTTACACAGTACTGCGGACTCGTGACGCTGACGTCAACGCCGCTTAACTGCGGACCGGCTCTGAGGCAGCTGCTCGGCCGACCGGCCAACGAGAAGCTCGCCCTGTTGCTGCCAATTGGGTATCCGGCCGAGGACGCGACGGTTCCCGATTTACAACGCAAGCAGCTCGACGACATTCTCGTCGAGTTCGAGTAGGAGGGCATATGCTGAGAAATGAACGACGAGTATAAAGATGTATATTCAAATTGCATTTATTTAGCAAAATGCGCTGTTAATAATAATAAAATCTTATTAGCTGCGGTAAGTTATTTTACAATTACACGTTACGCTATATCAGAATTTTACGTCCTATAATATGCAAACATGCTCGATTACACGCTAGAAAAAGTGTTTAAAAAATAATAATGATTAATAATAATAAAAAATCAAAAGTTCGCCATTCTTTTAATTCCTCCGTTTGTTTGTTTATTTGTTTCTTCTTTATATATATCACCACAGTAGTAAAAGATTTTAAAAATAATAATTAAGTACGTGACACAATCGTTTCCGTATAAAATAGGATTTTGTGTTAAAAAAATACTGCGTTTACAACACACAACAACCAAAGGATGTATTCGGACTGCATTGGAACTTTTTTTTAACCAACATTCGAATCCTCGCTTATTAAAAATCAATGCAATCGGTTTTTGCTTTTTGTCAATCTGAACAGGACTTCGATCTTTTGAGTATCTTTAGATTTAAAGGCAAAATTATATTCCACTAAGGTACGAATAATCCTAGGAATTAACTACAATTATTACAAACAAACAAAAAATCGTTGAGAATCATCACAAAAATGTAAACTCAATAGAGCAGCAAAATGAATTAATAACAAAAAAATCACTTTCAACGAGGACACAATGTTCAATTTGAATTTTATAATACTTTTTTTCTTCAGTTAAACTGAAATTTAAATCTCATATATTTGTGATATTCTCAGATGCGATTTTACATACATTCAAGTTCATCGAAAACGAGAATTTTTTTTTTTTAATGAATATGTATGAAAATCATAGCTATTAAATTTTACACTATAATTTTTTGAATTTCAAGTCATAGTAAAAGCCACAAATGATGTCTGGACCGAGGTTTTTACCTCTAAGTTTTCGATGATTTTATCAATTGGTTAACTTAACGATACATCCCTATGAATATTGTCAACATAATACACTTATAATTACAATAATTTACAAATGGTAAGGACAGATATCTTACTTAACAAGAAATAAGAATCGTATGCATTTAATTACAAGTGTTTTACTTGCTTACCGGCGGAATAATAACGTACACTAAAAAAAATGTAGTAGTATTTATAGTTCATTTACTTAAATCAGATATTTGTTTGAATCTACATAATTAGTAAATTAAAATAAATATTTCATTGCTTTAAATGAATAATTTATTGTTCCAAAGAAAAAAATTTGTTGGATATAACAAAATATACTCATTTTGTTTGAATGAACCTTTTATAATACTATCTAAACTATTTTTTTAGTGTAGTTGTTTCCACTTGTCCCTCTATTAAACAACATTCGTCGACAATAAACGAATTTTCCAAAAAAATCTTTCAAAAGTAAATCCATTATTCAATTTCAAGAAAAAATAAATTATTATGATACATCGACACTAAAACAAACAAAAAATCACAAGGTTGATTTTCAAAACTGCGCACGACTAAGAGTAATATAAAAAATATGTTCACGTTCCATAAATATCTAAAAAAAATCAATGTTCAAGCTGCAATTCATCATTGAGTAAAAAAGAATTCGGTATAAATTCGTACATTAAACATTTACAATCAAGGTCGAGTTATACATTGATAAAAGTAGTCACAAGCGCGCGAACGATACACTTATATCTGAGATCATTATGACATTTGTGCGAGAGTTTTATCCATTCATTTTTATAATTTAAAAATCACACTTCTGCGTGACCTGAATTATTATTATGTTGGCTTAGAAAAAAAAACGGGTACTGTTAAGCGTATAATCGTTGTCGATTCGTCACTATATCGTTCGCAATATAATATATCCAATTCGAACAATTGAAAATGTGATGATTCAAGCGTTTGGGCTAACAAACTTTACAGATAAATTCTACATTCATGAACGAATCACTTTAAAACTATACATACCGCAGAGCACCTTTGAATTTTAAATTAAATACAGGTAAATTTTACATTGCTGTATACAAATTGAAAGAAAAAAAAAGTGAAAAAAAGAAGTCGAAAAAAGTTGATCATATAGAAAAGATCGCGCTCTTGCGGAAAATCTATCGACTATATTTATATATTCATGCATTTTTCGTAATCTAGTCGTTGCCGTGTCATCGTTATCGTTATTAGATTCCTAATGAAAAAAATAAAAAAATAGCTTCATATACAGGAGCGCGTCGTCGCCGCGATCGGCTCGATACAGTGGATAAAGGAAACTTCAGAAGATCCCGGAGCAGCTGTAAACTCTCTGAATACGCCGTGTCGCTTTGCGGATCCTTCCGCTCCGTTGGTTACTTGGCCTGATGGAACTCGGCGATGCACAGTCTACAAGACCAAGAGCCCTCGGGCGGAGAAGTGAGCGGCGGATTGAGACAGTACATGTGGTAACCTCGATCGCAATCGTCGCAGAACAACAGTTGATCCTGATGATTTTCGAACAAAAAAAAAAAATAAATAATAAGCACACAATGCGAGATGCAACGAAAAAATTGAAAAAAAAAAAAAAAAATCGGCGTTACCGGCGATGTACTACTTACGTCATTGTCGGACGTCCCACACATCGAGCAGCACTTGCACTCGATGCACTGCCATCTGTATTTGCGCACCGAAACGATCATGTTAGCGGTGAATTGTAAGCACGTCGGGTGACCTGTGTTTGTTAACGTCGTGTTAATCGACGATAAGCGAGAGAGAAAAAAACAGAACAAAACGTTTCGTTTGTAGAGCGAACAGAAATAAAAAATTTTTGTATATATATAGGATCGATGAATCAAGGAACAAGAATGACGATAGGGTGCCTAGGACATTTATCTTGTGCCGAAGAACAGTGAACTCCAAGACAATCAATTTTGATTCAAATGCTTTGCTTTTTTTTATCATCGATTTGATGTGAATTTTGAGAGGCTGTTCGTTAATCAATTAATTAATCAATTTTTTTTTTTTGGCAATCATTTATCACTCATTTCGACGAGAACCCGCGTGAAATTTTCTTGCTTCACCTTTCCTCAGCACTACTTAAACGTCCAGAATAAAAACAATAAACAATCATAATGTATGTTTATATCGGTTCAGCGTGTTTTTATTCAGTATACTCTGTTTTACTTCTTTCTTTTCTTTTTTTATCATGATCATTTTTTTCGAACATCATTGATTCTTTTCTCTTTTTGTGAAATTTGATATTTTGCGGAGTTTAAGATAGTTTCAAAAAAAAAAAAAAAACGTAGTGGTTGAAAAAGAAAAAACCAACAAAAATTCACATAGCGGGGAGTCGTAACTTGGATTTGTTCACGTTCTTTCTTTCACAGCACAATATAAAAGTACAGCACACTCTCGCAGTCTCGCACTTTTTTCATTATATTCTATGATTATAAATAATACGTATTTCTTTGTCTATCACACTCATACTCATATTTCTTTTTTTGTTTCTTTACTCGAGAGCTTTTTTTTTTTTACTTTTTCGACACTCGATTCGGTGATGCGAGAGTCGGAATTGGTTCAGTTCACCATACCGTTCGGCTCCTGAACCAAATGTAAATAATGTCTTTTTTTTTCTCAAATCAAGATTCTCCGTTGACATTAAATAGTTTTCGGTTCGTCGTACATCATGATGAGCAATCAATCGTATCGGTAAATTTAATATCAATCATCAACGGAAAACCGATCAATTTCGACGAGTTTACTCAAGATTCAATTAAAAAGTACTTAAGTATATCAAATAATCATCTACATCTTGCTTTATAACGAAGAGGAACTATTTTTTCATTTTTTTTTACATTGCACCGTTGGGAGGGAAGAGTAAAATTAGAAGCAAAATTCAAAAAGAAAACGTCGAGATAGTAAAATTATTTTACGTATACAATGCTGCGAAATTCATCATATGAAAGTTCTTAAGGCGATTAGACGCCGTCAAGCGTTGCATGATGATTATTTTTACAAATGGTCGATTTTATTTATTAATATGGATTTTTTTTCTTGAAACGTTTATAAGGGCACATCGTGTTCTTGGTTGAATAAATAGCGTTGCTAAGTAATCCTTAATAGAACATGATTTGACCGAGAATTTCTGATTTTTTTTTTTGTTCGTTTTACAAGTATCAAGCAGCTGAGTACAAGTAAAGATTTGTATTGTGCTTTTGATTGACTGCTTTGAACTTTCTTTTTTCTATCAAATTTTCTTACGGATTTGATTATGTTATGATTGATTAAGATTGAAATCTCACGTTAAAAAACACTTGCGAACTTCAGTGTCAATTCGCAAATCTGATATCGTGAATTGGAAACGATATTCTTACACAACTATAAAAAGTGAGTATTACTTTTTTTCAACAATTAGCAATGCCTTGAAATAAAATGAGCATTCACTATTATGTTCATACTAACAAAGTAATTCAACATTTAAGCTTTGTTTTTTTTAAACAACCCGATCAATTAAAATATCACATATGTAGCTGCGCAGTTGCAAAGAAACATTTAAAGCTTAAGATCGAGGAAATGAATACGTTTTTTTTTTCTTTAATATTGCACAAAGTCGATGATTAATACTTTTGAATAAAAGTAATTTTACGAATAGATGAGATCACTCGTTGTCTCGTTAAAAAAAAAAAGTAGTAATAAAAGATTCGAAATATTTATCGTGATAATACTGGCAGCGGCAAGATAAAATAAAAAAAAAATTTATCAAAAATAAAATGCGTTCGATTTAGAAATACTGATTTAACGTTTCAGTAAATGATTTTGAAAGTCCTTGATTCGATTTTTTGGACCACTCGTGACTTTCACGAAAAAGCATCATAAGATGATTTAAAAATCGTCTTTTTTTGTTCTCGTCTCACCCCTCACGCACTCATTCTCAAAAACTACAATATCATTATATAAATCAACCGGTAAACACACAGCGCCGCCAGAAGAGTCTCCAATTTATAATTTTTTTTTTTGTTTGTTTGTTTGTTTTTTTTTTCTTATAAATTGTGATTATTGGCGCGTCTCGTGTACTTGCGCTTGGTCTTCTCTTCCACCACCGGTTGCGGTGGCAGTGGCAGTGGCTGCTGCTGCTGTTGTTGACCATTACTACTACTAGTAGTGGTAGTGGTGATGTTGTTGGTGTTGTTGTTGGCCTTACCTGATCGGCCGCAGTCGCTGCAGGAAACGAGCTCCTCGGAGCCGCCGGTCTTCTTGTTCTCGCGCGCGTCGCCGAGGCAGAAGTCGCAGTAGGGCGACGGCTGGGCCGGACCCTTGCCCTTCTTGCTGGCTTCGGCGCCGCCGGCGTGATGATGATTGCCCTGATGGAGCTGCTGTTGCTGCGGCGTCATCGTCGTCGTCGCGGCGCCCGACTGTTGCCCTGTCGGCGGCGTTGCCTGTGCGCCTTGCTGACCGGGTTGCAGCGGCATGGGCGTGCCGTCCGGCAGTAGGACGGGCTTCGGCGAGCCTGCGCTGGTCGGCGGTAAGCCGGTACCACCGACGATACCGCTGCCGGACATGGCGCCGTTGTTCTGTCCTAGGGCCGGTGACATGCTGCGCTGATCCGCCGTGTCCTTGATGCCGAGGCTGGTCGAGCTGGCACCCATAGCTGCGGTAGACACAAGGGCGGAACGAAACATTTTTCATGATGAGAGACTTGTGTGTGATGAAGTTAAGAAGATAACGCAAAAAAAAAAAGAAAGAGAGACGCGCGTGCTCTGCTGCTGCCGCTCCGAGAGAACTCTGGCTATGGTTTTTGGCTGCAACGGTGGTCGTCGCCACGGAGTTCGATATTTTTCGAAACAAACAATTTTTTTATCAATCATCACGAAGTACACACGAGATGAGTGCGTGGGTCGTCGTGTCGAGCTTCCGCCGCTGCAGCTGCAGAAGAGAGTGTTGCGTAGCGGTTGTTCTCTNCCAATTTTTTTTTTTTTTTTTTTTTAAATTAATTATCAGGCAAAAATGAGGGTATATGCGGGAGGATACGCGTTGCTCTCGAGACTCGAGGCATTATTTTTTTAAATAAGTAAACGATTCGATTGAAATGCCACGGGTCTGAAGAGCAAAATATATCAGTTTTCAATTAATTAGCAATCTTGATTTATGATTAAAAATATAGTAGTTGTAATAATAAGAATAATAAGGTAGATTTTTATAGCTGTATAAGATATAATAAGAAAAAAAATTAATAAATAACTCGAGAGAATACAGTAGAATAGAAAAAGAAGATGAAAAATACCTTGCGCCACAATATTATACGCACATCAAGAATAGAAAAATCAACGGGTCATTTTTTTTTTGCATGCACATCTCTCTCAGCCTATGTGTGAGCTCTTTTTTCTTCGTCTCTTGTCACCCTTTAACCCACATATACATATGAATTATACAGAAATACAATTTTTAATGTAAAAAACTTATAGTGACTTTTATGTTTTACGATAATTACCATATTTGTTAGAGGCGATTGCGATTGTCTCGTGTACTACGAATTCGAACATCGATTTCTCGATCTTCTCTTTATCTCATTATAATGAACTCTGTATGTCGTACACTTAATTTTCTTTTTTTTTTTGTTGTATTCGAGAATGAAAAAAATGATGAGTGAGAAAAAACACAAAAAATCAAAAGATACGTTTGCGTTGTACTTATACAAGAATTTATTGAACAGAATAATATGTATTTTTTTACAAACTTTTTCAAAAACAAATTGACATGATATTTTTGGTCATTGAAAACGCATTTCTTAACGGCTATATTGTATATATGCATGTCATCGATTGATATATAATATACACACTCAGCTCGATCAAAGTAATGCCCAATAATACAGACTATGCTCTAATTTTAGCTCTTTGAACGATAAATCTAAAGATAATATAAATCGTGTTTCTTTTTTTCATAGGCGTGCTTAACGCCATCGAAATGAAGGAGCTTTTGATTTCTTGAAAAAGTAATGTCTACGTACTATCGGATATGAATAATGTAAATAATGTATTACTTTACTTTTTGTGCAGATTAATTCAATCATGCCGGTAATATAATAAAATTATAATTATGTGAGTGTGTATGTGTTTTTTTCGTGAGAGATTAGAAATGCGACAATATACAGTGCTACTAAAAATATGGTAATCTTTTTTTCTGTTTTTGATTTTAGCTTTCGTACATAATAATAATAAGTTATATTGTATGATATGCTTTTCAAATATATTATATTCAAAAATTGATGTTAAAATTTAATCACCCATCTACTGTCAACAATAACAACAATAAAAACACTTTCTACTGAGCAACTACGTATATACAAAAAAAAACATGATTTCGTGAATTGGATAACAACCAACGACTTTAATCAACAAATTTATCTCTTGCTTGCGGTTCACACGTCTTTTTTTTTGGTTTAGTTGTTGGAATTAATTTTTTCAAGGTGGGCTCGAGAGACACAGAAAAAAGAGTGTTTGGTTCATTAATTCATTATCACACAACTAAAGATATAGTTATTATTAATGATGGCTAATAATAAAAAGCATGCAATTTTATTCAATTAAAAACAAAGAAATTACTGTCACCAGATTAATGTATAGATGTACGTTGGTAAAAGAAATCAATAGTAACACAGTACGTAACAAATTAACAAAAACAAACAAACACAATCAGCAATGCTAGCATTAACTGAAAAAAATCACTTATCAAGTTTCGACGGTATCAAAGTTGAATCACTTATTCGAATTGAATTCCGTGTCAAAATTTATCTCATGCATATTAATTAATCTTTACTATATATATTCATTAAAACGTGTCATTGGCATTAGGTGTATAAAAACATTGGTTTCTTTTTCGTAAATTTGACGCAACGAAACTTTTATATTATAGAGGAAAAGAGTAAAAAAAGCAACTTTTCATCGAAATCGAACGAACATATTTGTTCTTGTAGAAAAAGCAAAAAAAAAATGATGAAAAAATCAACGATGTAATGATGCGAAAAAGTAATATCACACACGCACGACATTCATACAAACACACGGGTTACATTAGCAGAATCAACTTTTTTTTTTCAATGACAACATGACGATATGATTGTTATTCGAAATCGATTGAAGTGAGAGTAAAGTGAGCGTTTAGTGAATGAAATGTAATATGAATGATGATGGAAAATGAACGATCGAGATGATTATTTGGAGTCCATGATATGTAAATGATAATTTGATTTTTTTGATGCATGCGTATTGCATAGATACACGTATATAATAATTAATAAAAGGTGCAATTCGTGAGATATATAAAGTGCATCATGCTGTTGCAAACTGTGTTAGAATGTGCTGGGATACTTGTTACCGAATTTTCTTTTTTAACACGTGAAGTTAGTTCAAGATTTCATGTCGTTAATTTACAATGACATATCACTCTATGGGTGCGTGGGAAAAATTGACTTTGAGAAGACAAGTAATTTTACCTTGTTTTTTTTTTCTTTTCTAGATTTAAAACATAGGACGAATTTGTGAGATATGCAAATCATCACCAGCACAGTACTAATTCAACATTAATCAAATTCGTGTATATAAATAACGATGATAAATATACGGTAGCGATAAAAATTTTCAACAGGACTCTATGAGAATGCTATGATCTAAAAGTTTCGATATCAAGTGAATAACTATATGCAAGAAAATGAGTATAAGCAATTTATTTACATGATATCAAGCTCTGAACGGAACGGAAATAGAAATTTAAAAAAAAAGTAATAATAATTGTGCTAAAAATATGTCCAATCAAGAAAGGGCTAACACAGAGACGATAAGAATCAAAGTTCTATGGAAAAGTAACATTTAGAAAAAAAATGTACTAATAAAATATGTATAACGAGAAACAAAAATTTTAATAGAACTTTGGTAATCATTTTCAACACCGACTGTATAAATTTTCACAGATTTTAAAAATTAATTTATGCTTATGTAAATATAAAAACGTGTAAATGAATGATAATAAATATATATTTTAATATTAAGAATTAGACTATTAAAAATATACAGTAAAAGAGATAATTTTGTACAAAATCTAAACATAGCGCACGAATACGAAATTAAATGGAACTTCTATGGAAAAAGTATTTAGATTAAAAAATGGAACATATCATATGCGATAATTTAAATGAAATGATGATGCATGAATATCGATATTTTGCAATAGTAAAAAAATTAATAAAATAAAAATAATCAGATATTTAGACAAGTTTTTAAAAAGTTGCTATGATACGAAAAAAAGAGAAATAAATTTCGAAAATAAAAGGTTAGTGGAGCGCTTCGCTTAATAAAAAAAAAAGAAATAATAATGATAAAAGGAAGGAGATTAAAAATTGAGCTTATTTCTTTTTGAGGCTCCAACCTGGCTGGTCCGACGATGCGACCGCATCTGATGCTACGTTCCGAGACTCAACATCGGCGGGACTGGGGCTATGTTCCTTAGCAGGATCGCCGGAGGAAGTAGAGTGGGAATGACCGTAATGGTAGACCAGACCCGGTCTGGTTTTATACCGTGCACTGCATACTGCAAAATTGCAAAGTACTTGTTTTCCCGCAACGACAAAAAAAATCACCTAATGCAATGGCAAACTGTTTCTTTTTTTTTCCTTCTGTTATATCCACATTAAAGCTGTTAAGTTATTCTTATTTTTTTTTTACTTTTTTACCAACTTATCATCAATTCTGTCCATTTTACAACATACAGTCTTAGAAGAAGAATATTATGAGAAAAATTGCAAGGATTTGAAGGATCTGTATATAACTTATTGATTATTGGAGTGAACAAAAAAAAAGTGGTTGATAAAAAGAAGAGCTTCTGGAAAATCATATAGTTATTATTTTAAACGGAAATGTATTTATTCTTTTTTACACTCAAAAATCATTGGAAATTTTCAATTAAACAAGAGTCCATTATACATAAATATCTTTTATGAGAAAAGACTTTGGTGTAGATTTTTTAAAATATATTCTTTTTTAAAGTCTTAATAAAAAAATGCAACCAAGAAAACAATTCCAGAGGCTATTTTACATCAGGAAATAATATAAGAGGACAAGGGACGACTTGCATACCTTTCACACTAGAAAACATCCTATCTGCCTATAAAATATCGTTCTAACGTGTTTTTAAACAAGCAGTGAGAGGGTTTCCAGCCCAAAAAAGCAAAACTAATACGATGCAAGGCTTAAATAAAATCTCGATTACACCTAAAAATCTGCTTGCTACACATGTGAGGCAAGTAATAACATTTTTGCTTTTCATTGTATTTATGTTTATGCGTTTTTTTTCTGCTTGCACAAGATCATTCTCCAAAGGTATCAAAGATAGATTGTCTTGTCAATTTTAAGAAATTCAATTTCGAAAGTGGATTAAAAATTTGCACGAGTGCAGAATTATTATAAATGGAATCATGATGAACCATTCATGTATGGGCATCACCCAGTAAATGATTGGAGCATATTGAGATATAACATAAATTTGATTAAAAGTTTATCACACATAAAAATCCCAAAATATCGTTTTTAAATAATTAATATCATCTACTTTATACCTTTGAATTAGTTAACTATTTCTAAATAAGAGCATCATAAAGAATTATCAGCAGGCACATTCGAATTATTTCAGAGCTTTTTTTTATCAATGATTTCAACAAGCTATTTCTAAATTTTACTTCAATTACTCTAAGAAATGAGCAGAAAATTTAAGAAATATTTTTGCAATATTATTACTTGAGGAGTGGAATTTCTACTATCTAAGTTTTAGGATTAGTCCCAAAATTTTACTAGGTAAAACTACAGCTGTAGGCACATATCTAGGTTTGGTCAACTATTTGTCATGATTAGTAAGCTATATAATCTTTTTTTTTATATATAAGTATATCTATATATATAAATAACTCGTGATTCTAGTAATGTTATATTATTGATATAATATATCATCGAAAAATTTAACTATCGAAACAATAATAAAATTTTGTGTAATTTTTATAATATTTGTAATATTATTTTTTGGTCGAATCGATATAATACACGAAGTATCGTAAATGATGGATTCATCAACTATCTCCACTTGGTATTACAGATAACGTTATAAATATTAACTATTTAATATATATTTTTTTTTCCATCAGTCTCAACTTAAGCTAAATCTTTGTCCAATTTTTAGAATTATCAATCGATCTAGACAGTGTGAAAGTCACTACTTATAATAGGTACTCAAATTGTTAACAGAATTAAATTCTTTGACAAAGTGCATTTGTGGCTCAGCTAATTATTAAAGTAACAAGCGGAGCCATAATAATAACTGAAGTAAAATTAATAAGAGGAAGTTGTCATTTGTAGTTGTATCTATGATTAAACTTACGGTCACAAACGAACGGCTTATCAGAATCACTGGGATCATAGTTTGCTTTTTTACGTCCGCGACCACCACCCTGCAAAAAATTTAATGTGATATCGATTAAAATTTTTTGCGCGCAGCCATGGCATTTTATTTTGTATTCGAGAATATCTTACTTTTGTTCTTTTTCCTGTTGGTGTGTCGCTGGAAGTAGGATGACTTCTACCCGGATGATGACCACCTCCTCTTGGTTTCCTTCGTTTCCTTTTGCTACTGTAGCTCTCTTCATAGTCAAAGTCGCTGTCTGGATCTGGCTCTTCGTAAGGATCGATATCCAACATGTCTTGTTCGTCGTAGAACCAAGCATCTTTACTGTGCTCATCTGGCAATGGAAAAAATGATTTATAATCGATGAAGAAAAAGAAAGGTGAAAAAATAACGAGCAAATTTCTTCAACACAGCCGGTAAGTCTTAAGAAAGTTTTTACAAAGCTTGAACAATACCTTTCAGAGCCAACGAATCTTTACTGTCGTCGTTAATTCCTGGAACGGTATTCGAATCGGTACCGTCGATGCCGATCCCGTCGATCTCGATCTCGCCTCGAATCGGCCTCTTCGGATGAAAGTAATTCATGAGATACTGTCTTCTCTTTTTCCTCCATCTTTTGCTTGGGTATGTGTACAGTTGGCCGTGCTGTAAGCCCGGCAGACGCTCCCGCGACGACATGAAGAGATTCGAGTGATTTTGAGCGACTCCTGTAACGAGCATTTTTTGTTTATGTTAGTTCAGTTCGGTAGAGAAACACTGTATAGGCACTATATGCTGCCGCTGCTGAAATTCGAAGCCACTGCAGTTTCGCGCCACACGGTTGTTCGGTGGCGCGCTTCGGCGCATTCGGTGCTCGCAGCTCTGGCGCATCTTTTTCTGCCACAGCAGCAGCAGCGGTCGTGATAGTATACACTATATACAGTGTATATAATAATATTATATACATATAAAGCCTCGGTACACACGCATACACCTACACAAAGTCGCACTGCTCCGGCTTGCCCACACAGAGAGAGAGAAAGAGAGTCGAGAGACTCTGTGTATATATCTATACATGCACGCCCTTAATGCCACAATATAGCAGCAGCAGCAGAGCTTCGCTGGATGATACATATATTTACAAGCGGCGTCGTGTGCCTATATATATACACGTCCGAGAGCCTCGACTCCGAAAATTCAATTCCTCGAGAATCGTGCGTGACGCGTACGTATGATATACGAAAAATGTATCATTACGGCTTACCTGTCTGCGAGTCGAGGAAAGGCATGCGTAAACGGCGTTCTCTGCACAGACGACTGTTGTACGAAGCCGAGTTCTCAATGGCCTCCATGTAAGCGGAGTCGTTCAAGAAACTATATATGCGTGTATCACCAGAGACACAGAGCGTTGCAGACGTTGTTGGCAAATGGCAGATGATACGCATGGAAAAAAGGAGAGAAAAATAGCGTCGTCGTACAAAATTACATAAACAATGGCCGTAGACTACTCCTACCTTTCGATCTTGACGAGATTGTCCCGATTGACGAGACGATTGATCTCCTGGGGATCCGCAGCAGCAGCAGCAGCCGTCGCATTTTTCTGGCCGTTGGCACCAGTCTGGACGACGCTGCTGTTGTTGCCGTTCGACTGCGTCGTGTCCGTCGTCGTCGTCGTCGTGCCGTTATTCGTGATCGCGCACATACTGTTGTTGCTCGTCGTCGTCGAGGAATTGATGTTGTTGTTCGCAGTGGCAGCAGCACCACTGGCCGCTGACGAAGCCAGCGCTGCAGGTGTCGCGGTACCGGCTAGCGTCGTCGACACCGCCGTCATCTTGTAGCTTCGCCGAGGACGCGCATCGGAGGACTGACTCTATACTACTTTTATAATGCTATACTACTATTGGCGCTGGATGACGACGATGATGCCGGCTGGCGGCGGCGGCGGCCAGGCCGAAGAACGGAGCAGCAGCAGCGCGTCGAAATATTACACGCACACATAGGCAGTGCACATACACATAGACACAGTGCGCGCGCGGGGTGGTTGTGCGCCACTGCGCACAGCGCACAGCACAACGGCGCTGCTGCTGTTTTTTCCGAAACGAACACGACGCTCTCGGCTCTCTGCGTGCACTGCACTTTGGCATCGTTGCTGCTGCGAAGAATCGAGTACACGCTTTGCTTTTTTCATTATAAAATACTGCGTTGCGGTCAGACGACGTTCCGAAGATTATAAATCTTTCAGAATGCAATATAAATCTGTAACGAGAGGTCATCGCGCAGCTTGCGATTGAGATGCGAGGAGTATTTGAAAAAAAAATCTAATGCAGACTCATAGAGTTTGAATGAATGAATTTTGTACAAAAGTTGAGAAAGCTATTTCGGAGAAAAATTGAGTCTTGATTAATTAATTGCTTATGCAATGAATTTGTGTGAGTACAGACTGAGATCAAATCGAGTGTGCTAATATTTTCTTTGACAAGCGAGATGAATTTTTAATAAAACTGTCAAACTTACATGCTTAAAAGTTATTTTAAAAAATAATAATAAAATTAAACGATACTTCTGAAAAAAATCGAGGATGTTCCTTAAGCGATTCTGAGACTTTTTTGTGCTATAAACTTATTTTCCAAACTCAATAGTTTATGAGATAAAAATAAATAAGATACGATGGTTTTTATAGTTTTTCTCGTTTCGATTGAGACACGCTAAGAGGGAAAAGTTAAATATTAAAATATGGGTTAATATTCAGAGATCGGTAAGGTGTGATTTTTTGCTGGATGAACTTGTAGTATATCGTGCTAAAGTTTCAAATCATTGGTATATTTTGCCGGATAGGAGTAAAAAACTGAAAAGTCTCAGAGCATCTCAGATGGACTCAATGACGGGCTCCGAGGCTTTCTTTTTTCACTGCATATAGGTGCAAATGAACTTTTTTGTGAATTTTCCCCAGTTTAAAGTTAAATGTTACTTTAAATTGGGATTAGCACAAAAAAAAACATTTCAACCGAGCTGAGTTGACGTTGGTCGAAGTCAAAATTAGATTAAATTTCGAAACTCGAAATTCGTTCGTTTTCATTGTTTATTTACACGTTCCCCAATCTAGTCCAGAAAATTTAAGCAAACACTCCGGTACCGCTTTCGTTTGGTCTCTGAAGACTTAAGAGGATCAGGGGGCTCTCCTATTAGTTCTTTATTTTTGACCTGAAATCACTAACAGCTTCACTAATAGATTTTTAAATTTTAGTCACAGCCTCGACACAGGTTACGACGCCTCAACGTGAAGAGAGCGATCACATCGAACGTGGCAAGTTTTCTTTTAAAAATTCGAATCAATTGTGTGCAGCGTGAGTGCGCGAAAAGTTTTCTTTGATCGGGAAAAGAATAAAAACATATATTTAATTCGAGTCAATTGAATTATAGACATGTACCACTACGAATGGGACAGTAGTTCCGACGACGACGACTTTCGTTCCGATTATTCGTCCGCAAGTGACTTCGAACCCTTACGAAAAGACGTCAATTGGGAGGTCGACAAAGACCGATTTGAACTGCTCCGTCGACTTCATTATCGCATAACGTGGGAATGGAAATCATACCGAATTCCCAATTTCCGATCAGCTTTTCGAGACGAAGAGATGGATCGTCTTCTCTCGGATTGCGTGAACCATCGGAAAGGAAAGCACGATGATGACGATTGGTTGAGCAGATTCATCGGGATAGTGGCCGGCAGCGGTTACAAGGACCAGCCCAAGGACGATGATGAAAATCGCACGACACCCATTCATCGCGCGGCTAGATCACATACGTGTAGCGTATGGATCGTCGATCATCTATTCGATATCTACGACAGGTACGACGTGAATTACCGCGACGAAACTGGATTGACGCATTTCCATGTGGCCTGCAAGTACGGCTGCCAAGAGATGGTGGAGAAATTCCTCGAGGCCGGTCAGGATCCGAACGTCGTTTGGCGAAAGACGGGCGACTCGCCGCTTCATCTGGCCGTGGAAAATTATCAGCCCCGAGTGATTTCGTCGCTGCTCAGCAAAGATGCCGATCCCAATTGGGCCAACGCAGAGGGATCGACTCCTCTGCACTCGATCTGTCAAAGAGACGAGGAGATGAAGATGTTCTTCGATATCTGCGACGAGTTGAATCGGACCGTGCAAGTCGATGTTAAAGACAAGAAGGGCCTGATACCTCTGCAATTGGCCGTGGCGAATCTCGATCCGAATGCGGTCGAGCTCCTCTTGGATCGTGGCGCCGATCTGTCGAGCTTTACCTTTCCCACCGGGATCAATTACTTCGACGGCCGATATAGATCAAGTAAGAGCCGGCTCGGACTCGCGTCCAGCATCGTGATCTGCGTCGAACTGCTCGAGAAGCGAGGCTACGAGCTGCACCGCGGCGACGTACTCGGGATCCTGAAACTATTCTCCGGGTACGAAATGTTCCTGAGGTCGGACTACTACAACGACGATAAAAACGACGACGACGAGGACTTCGAGAACGAAGCCAAAGCGATAGCGGTGAATTCGCGACTGTCCCTCTACGATCTGTTCCGGTCGGCCGAGCAGCTGCTGGAGCTGAAGCAGGTCACGCACGCGGACTGCGAGAGGTTGTCGCGCTCGGACGAGTACCGGGCTTTTTGGTCCCGTCGCGTATTGCATCGCTCGATTCAGCTGTGTGACAAGATATCGCGGAAACTTGTCCAGGACTGCGCGCTGGAGCCGTTCTGGGAGTTGATGGGAGGCAGACTGCCGTTGGAGTGCTGTCGAGCGATACTTGGGAAGTTGACGAACGAAGATCTGTATAACATTTGCTTGGCGTCTGAGGGATAAAGCTAGCCGGAGGCGACGAGTATTATAATTGTTGAATTATTTTTAAATCTCTTGTATTGTTTAAATTTGAAATAAATAAATTTAAAAAAAGAATTAAATTTACTTATTAGCTTCAATTTTAATCCTTAATACCTCGAAAAAGACCGATCTCGCCAAGCTCAGATTTCTACTTGGTTCTTCGAGGGTATAAATTACAAATTAGATAAATGATTTAGCAAAAAAACTTGATTTCCTCAACACGGATGAAAAGACACTTCGACCTGATGTTCCTAGTGGTCAATCTGATGTAATAATAATCGAGTGAAAGAACCCTAGATTTCCTCGCAAAAAATATATTTCGAACTGGTGTAATCATCAGATAGAAAAACTCTCATGGTTCAAATTTTAACCAGGTGTATCAAGAAGACACCCTGGCCAAATAACCATGACTCTCTAAGTGAAATTGTCATCAAGAAAGTGAGGATGGAGGTGGAAAGATGTGACAATCTATACAAGAAAGTCTTATTATCGCGATTTTCTCCCTATGATTTTGTTAGAATAAATGAATTATCAAGCTTCAACTGTTTTTGTAAAATAATTTTGACAAAAAAATTAATTGCATAAGTGCAGTTAATTAACTATTTATTTTTCTCTAATATAATTTTCTTAACCTTGTGAATTATTCAATTGAATTTATAAAAGTACTAACTATTCATGATAAAATCAAGTGCGATAACATTTTCTTTCAAAAGTCAGTTGAATTTTTAATAAAAATGCAAAACTTACAAGATTAAAAATTGTAAAAAAAAATAACAATACTATATCGGAACAGTCTTTCCAAGCTTCTGAAAATCATGAAAAATTTAGACTTTCTTGCCCTTGGTAGAGATCTGCTGTGCCTTCATTACTTTCAGGACTATCTTTTGTTCTTCAATGAGGAAAGCTCTGACAATCCTGAAAAAATAAAAAATTAATGGCAATGTTTGAAAATTTTATCTGTTTATTAGAGTCTTTTTTACACACCTTTCTTTGACACATTTGTGGCACATCACACCTCCATAGACACGCTTGACAGTTTTCTTTCTGCGGCACATGCGAGAGCGTTCTTGAGGCCTGGCAGGTTGAATTCCCCTCAGCTTTTCTTTGCAATTTCCACATCTTGGGATTTTTTTTGCTTTTTTGAGATACTGGTATACCAATTTTCCACCAGGAGTACGTACACTGAAAAATGACAAGACATTCTATGATTAGGGTATTGTTAAAAGCTCAATTCAAGTAAAGTAATTTTTTGCTTATGCAATGTTTGCTTTAAAAAAAAGTTTTCAAATTTATTTTAATACAGTGCTAAATAATGGAAATACATTTGAAAGTCAAGTTGTCACAGTACAAAATTTCACACATTCGACATAATTAAATTATTTGTTATTTCCAAATGCTTTCTTATAAACCAATAACATCATTGAAATTGTTTGATAACAATACAATGCCAAATATAAATTGCATGTGTTTATCATGACAGCTACTGTCAATCAAAACATAACCATGACTTCATTTGACACATGCAATACATCAGTCTTAACGACACTTGTCACCAGATTACTGGGAATGCACTCGCGAAATTCGCGATGGAATGGATTGAAAAACTCACACTTGTCTTCTGTTGCTCTTCGTGTTGTACGACAGCCTCCTACGGTACGTCAACCTCTGCACCATTTTCAATCTGGAAAAGTTTAATGCACGTACAGGAATTAGCAAAAAATGACAACAGTAGCTGTATATCGATATCGATGGGTGTCTCGAAATTTTGCAACGATTATTATGAAACAAAAACTTGGGCTTCGCAAAATTGGCAGATGTACGTACCCTTCTGGTATCTAAAGAGAGAAAAAATTCACCATGCAGCTCCAATGGCCGAACGGGTGAAAATTCGCAGTGATGGTGAGATTTGCAGTTCTGTGGCGCTGCATATGGCAACACGCGCTGCACTTGAAGTGCATATTGCAATTTATCATTTATATTTAAATTAATGAAAACCTTCATATAAAAGTGTAGTGTAGGCTTTTGGCGAAACTTGCTTAGATTTCATGTTCAATGTAATGATAAATTCTTTTGAAAACTTGTTTTATTGATCTTCGTAGGTTAGAAGAATTTACAAAAACTTTGTCTTTAATATTATTGAAAAAAGGAGTGTAAGATTCATTCATTTTTTTCCTCTGATAATTGATTTTTCATTCGAAAATGATTAAAAATTAATGAATTAGTTTAGAATTCAAATTACGTGAATCGCGCGTCACGCATGCGTTTTTAGACCTTCTATACACACCACTCCGTTGACAAGCAGCAGAGCACATGGACTGCTCGCCAAGCCGGTCTGCATCGCGAGTCGCGACGTGTAGCAGTAGACATCGCGACCAAAACTCAAAAACCAAATAATCGTTTATCGTCCATTGCATCATCATGTTTGTGCTCACGGAGTTCAAGGACACGGTGCAAATATTGCCGCACAAGTTCAAGAAGAAGCTCAACGATGCCATAACCAACGAGCTCAATCGCAAGCTGGCGAACAAGGTCTTCTACAAGGTCGGCCTGTGCATCGCCCTGCACGACATCACGCACATCTCCGAGTCGTTCATCGTGCCCGGCGACGGCTCCTCGCACACCAAGGTTAACTTTCGCTTCGTCGTCTTTCGGCCCTTCATCGACGAGGTGATAGTGGGCAGGATACGCAGCTGCGACAGCGAGGGCGTGCACGTCACCCTCGGCTTCTTCGAGGACATCATCATCAAGCCGGAAAATCTCAAGCAGAATTCCATCTTCAATCAGGCTGAGCAGGCCTGGGTTTGGCAGTACGAGGGAGAGGATGGCAATGTGTCAGAGCTCTTCATGGACATTGGTGAGCCGATCAGGTTCAGAGTTTGCAAGGAATTCTTCGCAGAGGCCTTGATTGTCAATCCAAGTGCCAAGAAAGATTCCGATGAGAAGAAAGAAACCACACCGTACGCACCACCTTACATGCTCGAGGGTGATATCGATGCAACCGGTCTAGGACTACTCAGTTGGTGGGCCAACGTATGATATTACCTATAGTTAAACACTGTTAAGTTGTACATTTTTTTAGTTTCACTAGTTAAATCAAATTTATTAGATAAGAACAAAGTTATAATAAAATCATGTGTTTATCCGTTATTGTTAAGGATATTTTAACTATATGTGTATTTTATCCAAGAAAATGCGTTGAGCATCAAGGTGGTCAGTACCTATCCAGAGAGAAATTTTAATCTATTAACATCAAAAATTATATTTTGATACAAACAAACTATCAAAAATATACAATCAATAAAGTGCAAGATTTTTTATACTTGAAAACTGTTTTCTTTTAATTTAATATGAAAACCTTCATAACATTCTGAAAAAAAAAGAAAGAAAGCTCCATTTACTTTCAATACTTCAATATTTAAACATAAGCAATGCAACAGACAATGAGTGATAAGAAAGCCAACAACTGCTACTTCATTATCAATGGCTTTCAGACTCACACGAGATAACAACAACACAAGCGTATGTATAATGTTGTCCAAAATTCTGCAAACGACGAGAACAAAAACCAATTAAGAGGCTCGAACGATAATGCCTGATAAAAAACGTAAATAACGGGTATTCGCGCGTCGATTGCAGCTCATCGTGCAAAAATTCACAAGATCACCGCGAGATTTCTGCAGGTGCAGCACACGAGCTCTCCTAAACACCGCTAAATTCGATTCCGCGCACCATTGGCGCTCGCTGCGAGTTTAGCGAGCGAAATTGATCTCATCCTTCCGTATAAGTACACAGTCTGTTTCGCTTCGCCAGTCGTCGCTCGACTCTCGCGAGTTGTGTGTCTGCAGGCAGTGAATCCCCACATCGTATACATATAGTGAGTGAGAGATATTACACATACAGAGACTCGCGTTAACCTAAAGCCGAGGAAAAAGTTCGCGTATACGATACACAGGTACCTACATATGCACACAATCGCGTATATGCACTCGCACGTGCACTCCGCATTATATACAGTCCTAGATCGTTGCACTCTTATATGTACGCATAAAGCACGCACGGTATATATAACGCTGTGGTACACAGACGTACACATATACACACGTGCAAAAACGTAAACAATGGAATAGGTCGTCAAAACAGTAACACTTTAAATTATCCGCGTACACTCGTCGAAACATCCAAATTCTCCGTAAAACCACAGCGTCAACACTTGGCGACTCTCGCGAGCTCCGAAATTATACGTCGCGCTCTACCCGTGGAACGGGTTCTCGCCAGTCCGATCGCTCATTTTCATTCATCTTGTTTTGCAGGAAAGAAGAGAGTTTTTGATCCGCGAGTGCGAGTGCCGTGATAATCATACACGACGAAAATTATGGACGGTCAAGCTTCGGCAGCAGCAGCAGCAGCATCGGCGACGTGCAGCAGCAACAGCAACAATACTGCCGCGGCGGCGGCGACGACGACGGCCCCGAGGCGTCGCGGTCCAAGAAAGCCGCGACGACGCGCCGAGAGCGTCAACAGCGAGCAGGACGAGGCAGTGTGCCCGCCCAAGGTACTGATAAACAAGCGGCCGCCGAGGAGGCCTCGAGGCGCCGCCCCGAGGGAGAAGTGCGACGCCTCGTCGTTCGCCAGATCGTTCAATGACGCAATCGAGTGCAATTCGGACAATCTGTCGGAGACGGACCGTCTGTTGCGCGAGACCGAGAGGAAGATCGCCCTGTTGAAGCTTCGTCACGACTCGTCCGCTCAAGAGGTAGGATTTGTTTTTATTTATTAATTTTTTTTTATTAAATTAAAAAGTGCCTGTGATTGGTGTTAATTGAATGATGGTTTTTGTATAGAACTCTGAAAGTACACCCTCCACATCTGATCAATCCAGTGGATTGAGGATCAGGAAAAGGACCAGGAGACACAGGAACAGAGGCAAACTAATTGCAGATGAAACAAACGTCCTGCCCGAAGATGCAGATGATGTCTCGCCAAAAGCCAGTGCGTGTTACTTCAACGACAATCAAAAGCACGACAAAAGGAAAGAGGAGAAACAAAAGCTTTACATAAACAATAGAGTTAGAAGTAAGCCAAGAAGGCCCCAAACGAGTGAGGCAGACGAAGAAGCATCTTGTAGTAAGGATAAGGATAAAAGAGATAGTTCTGACAAATACAAAAATCATAAGAAGAAAGATAAGAAAAAGAAAGAAAGAAGACTGTTTTGTGATCATTTGCCTATAGACGTCGTTAAGAAACTTCTTGGAGTTCAAGATCCAGAAAATCCTAATATCGTCGAAGGTTCCATTCGTATAAATCCAAGATGCTATCAGAATGCTTATGTTGCATCGACAAACGGTGAGCCTGATATATTGATTGTTGGCTTGAAGGATCGGAACAGGGCATTAGAAGGTGATAACGTAGCTGTAGTTATTCATCCTCAAGACAAATGGTTCAAAGTTGACGAAAATACTTTTCACAAGACTGGAGCTGTTGTCAGCATATTAGAAAAATTCCATCCGAGAAAAGCTGTAGGCTTTTTAAAGAAACAAGATGTGTTCGTTTTCTTGCAACCTAGAGACTATAGGGTACCATTGATGAAAATTCGTCCCAAGACTGTTCCTAAAGCTTTCTATGATAATCCTGATCTCTTTAAAGAAACTTTATTTTTATGCAATATTGTTGATTGGAAAAAAACTGCTTTTGCTGAAGGGTAAGAAAATTTATTTTCATACATATTAAGTATATATTTTGTATTGTATTTTAATAACATGTGAATACTTATTATTTTTTGTTACAGCGAAATTCAGTTAAATCTTGGTCCCAAAGGTGACTTGGATGTTGAGTCTAATGCTATTTTATTAGAAAATGATTTAGTTTTGAAGCCATTTAACGAAGAGCAAACAAAGGACCTTCCACCTGCAGATTACGTTCCTAGTGAATCAGATATTGCAGGTCGAGAAGACATGAGAAACAAATGCATTTTCACAATAGATCCTGCCACTGCTGTAGATCTCGATGATGCTTTATCTTGTGAACCTTTGGAAAATGGAAATTTTGAAGTAATGATTGAAAATTCTATTTTTTTAATTAATCGATTATTTAATTAATGTTTATATATTGATGATTTTCAGATCGGAGTTCATATCGCCGATGTGACCCATTTCCTCGAAGCCTTTTCACCATTAGATAAAGCAGTAGCTGAGAGAGCAAATACAATTTATATGGTTGATAATGTGTACCATATGCTGCCCAAACAACTCTGCCTTGCGTGTTCACTCTTGCCAGGCCAAGACAAATTGGCCTTTTCTGTGATAATGGAAATTACGCCTTCTGGTGAAGTAGTCAAAAGTCGTTTTGCAAAAATAGTTATGAACTCGTGCTGTCAAATGTCTTATGAACAAGCTCAGAAGATGATTGACGACGATGATTTCACGTACGATTGGGAAAAAGATGGTTCATTGAAAATTGTTGGAGGATACACTGCCAAAGATTTATGGACAAATGTTAAAAATTTATATTCAGTAGCAGTTGTTTTGAGAAATAAAAGATACGAAGATGGAGCGCTCAGGATAGATCAACCGAAGCTTCACGTCTTCATCGACAAAGAAACAAGAATGCCGATAAATTACGCTATTGAAAATAGAAGAGAAAGTAACAGGTACAATAAATAATTACCCTATAATATTATTTAATAACTTTTACAAAACTTGATTTTTTTTTCATTTCAGTTTGATCGAAGAGTACATGCTACTAGCAAATATGGTTGTAGCCAAACATCTTTATGAAACGATGCCCGAAGTATCTCTACTTCGATCGCACCCGGAACCTTGCATGCGCGTACTGCAAAAGACCAAAAAATTGCTCGAAAAATTCGGCGTCTTATTGAATATTGAGTCTGCAGGCGCATTGCACGAAAGTCTCTTAATGTATCAATCATTCGACGAATATGACCCGAGCAGTCCCGAGCACGGTAGAATGATGGTTATCAACTGTCTCTGTGCCAAATCGATGACAGTTAGTGTTTTTTGACTTGATAATAATGTATTCAAATATCAACGATTGTAACGACTTTTGACCCATGTATTTATTAATTTTAAGCGAGCGTTATATAAATGTTCGGCAACGGTGGAGACGAAGGATGATTTAAGACATTACGCGTTGAATGCAGAATTTTATACTCACTTCACGTCACCAATCAGAAGATATCCGGACTGCGTTGTTCATAGATTATTGTACTCGTCCATTACAGATACACCTATGCATTCAGAGTGGAATTCGGAACTCTGCAGAAAGTAATTGATTTTTCATGTCCATATAATATCCGCATTTTCGTAAGCCCCTGGTACTCACGATCCCACTTCATTATTTTACAGAATTGCTTCAAACTGTAATGGGAAAAAGTTCTCGGCCAAGCAGGCGCAGGAGCAAAGTAACGCATTGTACTTTACTTACTGGTTGGAACTCCGAGGCTCGATAGAAGCCTTGGCCATAGTTATGGAAGTAAAGGAGCGATCGGCAGATGCGATGCTGTGCGATACAGGCTTAAAAGTCAGATTGTATTTCAACGACACGGTTGAAGAAACGACTAGTGAATACACAATGGAACACGATGTCCCCACAGTACGCATCACGTGGACCGAACGAAAAATTGTTCAAGTAAATAACTATTTTTTAGTAAAATATTTACCAAGCCAACTGCAATTGAGAGTAATTTTTTTTTCATTTATTCTAGGTCATAAATATCTTCAGCATACTGCATGTAAAAATAACTAAACACCAACAGTTGTTCAGACTTCAAGGTGTTATATTGCCGCCCTTGAATGCAAATGCATCTCAACCGGCAATCGAATGATTAGGACTTTAATCGAAAATTTTCTGATATTAAAGTCACTATATAGTCACTATATAGTCATTCAAAATATGTACAAAGTGCATGAATCTTACGTTTTATCTATACAATATATTTTAAGATTTTAAAATGCTGTATATCATTTTGTATACCGATGTAAAACTATGTGATTGAGAATTTGCTATGGTGGATAAGATATATAATTTTTAAAAAGTGAAAAAATTTTTTCGAGATTGTAATCTACAATACTTACGGCCACTCGTAATAAATTACGTTTTCTATAATTAATTTTACATATAAATGTAAATTAAATCTGAATGTATGATAGATATATGTATAACAGCAAAATTTAAAGAATATATTGAATAATGGAGAAAATCCACTTTATTCATATTATGTACAACAATGGATCTACAAAGAAAAAGTATAATATAATGTAAATAAAGTTTCAACTGGAAAACCAAAAACAGGAATACGTATATACTTTTTTGCGAAACCCATTCGGATTTCAACATGCTTTCAAATCTATATCATCAAATTCTACTTACACATATAGCAATGAAGTAAAAAGTTCATGAATGAAGATTGTTGGTCGCAAAATTACGATATGAACGTACTTCTTAATATTCAATTTACTTCTAATCACGGTGTGTACTAAGAATTACTGTTCGAATTTATAACTAGGTCACATTTACAAGTATTTTTCTGTAATAACTTTGACCAAACACACGCGTTATATTCATAGCACTAAAAGGCCCTTAAAGTAAATATTAATATATTTATTTCATTAGTCTTTTTAAACGAATACAATTCTTCAAGTTCATATACATTCACGCACGAAGAAAAATTAATTTGTTTTTTCTTCTTGAACCAAGTTGGGTTCGTAAAACATCAAGCAAACTTTGAGTGTTTAATGTACAAAACTATTTTAATAATTTAAACTTTCATATATTCGTTGTATACAAAAATACCATTCGCATTCTCAAACTCTTTTTTACAATGTACATAGACTCTCGTTTTCGATTACTCAATATGCATTCAAAACTTGTTTAGTATCATAAATAACACTCATAATTTATGGTTTTTGTTTGTGGAGTAAGTGAAATAAGAAGTACCAATTCAGTTGTGCAAAATTGAGATAGATTGTATAAAGATAATATACAAAAGTAACTGCGCGTGTTATCTTTAATTTTTACAAAGGTTACAGTTGATGTTTCAAAAGTTTTCGATCTGAAAAATCCAAAAGTAGGGCAGTCATAGTGTGCATCATCTGTTAATAATGTTCGGGAGGAGTTGATAATTTTTCACTTTTACTGTCAACACTGATCGTAATACAACAGTCGGAGTCTTAATAGTTAATGATTTCAATGTTTTATAAAATCATATTAAAAAAAACCTCGGTTTACATCTGTAACTATGCTAATTCTATAAAATATTAAACAATAAAGCTTTTAATAATCGACTCATGATCAGTGAATCTTGTCTCTTGAATTGTTTCTAAATCACACTATCTACACTTTTTTGAAGTAGCCATCCCACACAATTTATTAGAAAAGAAATTAATTCTATAATGAATTATAATATTTAAAAAATTTACATATTTTGATATAACAAACATCACACCGAACAATTTGAGTTCTTTCAAATTATTGTAATTCCGAAGCATTAACTAAGTCAGTTAACTGTCAACTGCTTGCTCTTGTTGTTCTTGCGCTTGCTGCTGTCTGTTTCTGTGCTCGTAATTTACGAGTCTCTGTCCGACAAGATACTTATCGTTCTTAATGTGTTCATACAACTTTTTGAATGACGTGATCTGAACACTAATCACCGCTATGAAAATACCCATCACCAATACAAATGGATAGATTCGCCGTGCAATCACTATCTGCATTGGTGCGTTAGTTATGAACAAAGGTACTAAGCCGTTGGCTATCACATATGGTATCGCTAAAGCAAGTCCGAAGACACAGATCACCGGAGCTGCGAGATTTTGTATGATGAATCGCAGATCCATATCTCTAATGCCGTCGTTGTATGCTCGCTCAATAGTGAACTTCAAATGCCAGTCAGGTCCCATCATGGTAACAGCTGTAGCAATTTTCGTGTAAAGAACTCCTACGGTAGATAAAAAAAATGATTAATGACTCCACTGAAAGCGTAACGTTAGCTGAAAAATGATAACAATTAAATTACCAAGGGCCCAATCTTGCCAGACGAATAGTATTGGACTTTGCTCGAGCGGTACTCGTAAGGGTACAACGACGACCAATTCCAGTAGTAATCCAAATAGCAACGGTATAATACCGAAGAGTAGGACAAAAGATACGTAAGCTTTGCAGCCAATGTAAACCCAATGTTTTATACGTTCCAAAATAGCCCTTCGTCCTCGTGGCAACCACGACATGGCTAAAGCTAAGGTACGCGCTGCTGCCCAACACAAATAAGTTCCACACGCAATCGTATAAACTTCGTGAACTCGAGTTTCCGAGAGCACTGAAACCACTGGGTTCGTGTCGTCTGTCGAGGAGTAAAAATTGGAATTAAGATCATTTAAAATTTTACCATTTACGATTGTTTCGAACTTCTCGTACCTTTGCTTGCAGCGGGTATATAAGCTGGCGGTAAAATAGGTGGCGACGGCGCCGGAGCTCCGACTACCCAAACTGCCATGACTCGTCTGCCGATCCATACGGGCAGGGTCATAGCAATCAAACTAGCCAAAACCAAAGAAACGCACACGCATACCATCAAACCAACTAATCGTGCCCCGAACCATTTGGGTCTGACGTAGGGCTGATATCCCATCGGTCCCTCGCGATTGAGCAGAGCCTGATGAGCGGCTCCAAGGTCGTTATTGTGATTGTTTATTGGCTCGGCGGGTTCGTCAGCCGCGGGAGCCTCGTCGTTTCTTGGTTGCGGAAGAAGATACGATTGCAGATTGAGTAACCAAGCTATGGAGCGACACCATCCGCGTACCAAAGATTTTAGCCAGGTACGGGTGTGAGACTGTTCTAGAAGCGCTGGCAAAACAACTTGGAGCAATAGTAATTCTAGAGAAAGTTCGTTTATCTGAAAAGACAAAAAAAAAGTAAATAAATATCCGTTTCTCTCTTAAGCGTAGGTACATGAAAATTTAGCTTACTTGAGTTTCTGCCTGAACTGTGACGGTGTAAGGCAAAAAGCCTGGTAATAGCGACCTAAGTATCTTAATTGGTAACCAAAGTATCAACAAAATTGCTGAACCAAATATGATCGCCGATGCAACCAATCGACGAGCATGTCTGAGTATCGGCAAATGAATCATCTCTTGCAGCGGAGAAAAATCGGGATCGTTCAAGTTGCGCAAGAACCAAAGTACACCGGGTCGAAGTATTTCCCGCAGAAGCAATATGAATGACGCGAAGTAGTACACGTAAATCATCCCGATGAGCCAATGTATGAACATGGAAGTGCCGGGAGCCATACGGAACGAAGTTTCGCGATCTCGAAGAGTGGCGTCGAACATGGCAAGAGAGCAGATGTCCAACCACCATCCGCAAACGAGAGGCAGGACACCAATCTCCACAACGCTTAGTAAGGAAACCTGCAGCAGTAATAACAACAAAAAAAACATTAGCTTATAATCTTCCAAATCAGGAATCAAAAAGGATCTATCTTTATTTTTCATCTACTTGCCTTTACTATGACATAGCCAAGTCCAAGAATTCTTTGAGACCGTTGGAAACCTAGCACTGCAGCGATGGCGTGCAATACTATGAGGCACATACCAACCACGCAATAACCAACCAGAGTCGTGACTGGTCCTTCAAAGTGGGAGGCAACGACTAATTCTTCGCCACCGAGCAACGAGATCGTTGAATAACCGACTCGATAAGGTAGAAAAGCGAAGAACTGTAAGTTGAAAAATAAATTTTAACAATGGATATTAATTATTTTGCAAATTATAAAAGATCTCAAAAATAAAAAATATTACCAGTATGAATAGAGTATTGAGCGACATCACCCAAAATACATGCTCCAGAAACAGCAAGGACCCATCCAGACCCAACAAACGCTCCCAAGTGAGCTCTTCGGCCGGGCGATCCCACTCCATGGGATTCCAGTTGGCCTCCTCGGCCTCGCCTTGAGGTGGGTCGCGCCACTCGTTGGCCTGCTGCTGCTGCTGCAGCGGCTGCTGTGCCTGCTGTTGATCGGCAGCTGCATCGGCAACCGCGGCCGCCGCCGCTACTGCTGGCCCACCTCCGCCGACGGCCTGATTGTTTTCCTCCTCGTCGGACTCGCCCTCGTCGCCGGCGTCCTCGGCTGGATCGTGCTCGATGCGCGGCCGATTGTTCCATCGGACCTGACGCACGTTGCGAAATATTCTCAGCGGCTCGATTTCTGAAAATTTTCAAGTCGAATGCGGGAAGTGAATGATTTTGTCGCGTATTAATCACGGGCGCGCTCGCGCAAGAATTTGGGAGCTCGGCCAACTTCAGAATTGCCAATTCGCGGATTTCAAGTGCACCCAAGTTTAATGTCAGCACGTGTAGAAAATTTCAAAGTCAAAATAATTAAGAGCGAATTAGTCGATCGAAATTCGTATACTACTGACCAGCGTCGTCTCTCGGTTCTTCGGCGAACGGCGGTACATTGTTGTTGTCTTGCGCTCCCCTCGCGGCTCCCTGATTGTTAGGCTGCTCGACCGCGGCCGGTGCGGGATTGTCCACGGGTGGCAGCGGCGGATTTTCCCGCTCCAGCCAGTCGGGTCCGCCGGCGTGCAGGATCTGCTCTCGCAGCCAGACCAATCCCAGGAACGTGAACAGAGTACAAGATATCACAAAGCAACCGTGAAAGATATCGGACGATATGTTCTCGGTCGACAACATATCCATTGGCAAAGACATGAGCTAAAGACACAGAAATCAGTTATCGTTGGTGGACAAATCCCATAAAAAACAATATAGGTCCAGCCGCGCTCACCTTGACGAGATCCAACGAGCCGCTGAACACGGCTCTGTAGGTGCGACAAGCCGTGAGAGGCACGATGCCCAGCCAGGCGACGGCCACCAGCGTGTAGTGCATCCAGTACTTCATGGCCGTGACGACGCTTGCGCACAATCCGCCCACGACGTCCCTGAGAGGCAGCCTCCTCGGCATGTCCGGACTGTAGATCGGCGTAAACGAGAACCGATGGCCGCACAGCTCGCAGTACTCCTTGCGCGAGTAGCGCATCCACTGCATGAGGCAGTCCTGATGGATCCACTTGATGCTGCCCGTGCATATGCAGGGATGGAAGAGCGGTCGGTCCGCGGCGCCCTCGGACCGACACACTCGGCATATGTCGCCGCTCAACATGTCCTCCGGCATGTTGACGACAGCTGCTGCTGGCCGGGGGCCGTTTCACTCGTCGTTGGTCGCGGCGACACTTTCTTCGCGCTCGCCTAGATGGCTGCGGCTCCTCTAAGCCCGGGAAAAAACCTGCGGACGGAAGGACAAAGAGAGAATTGTCAAAATCGAGCTTTGTCGAGGTACACGAGTGTCGAGAGTGTTGAATAAATTTGCGATCGTTGTACCGAGGTGAAAATTGTGTTCGCGATGTTTGTATATAATCAAGACGTTTCGAGATACACACACGCAGGTATCACTGACATATAGCACGTCGATCGCGTCACGAGTCAAACGTTATAAACACTTGTATACATTTGGCTTAATGTGTTATAATACTCGCGAATACATAAGGGATACTTGTGTAAGCGATGACAACGACGACGACGACGACGTTACGATAGCAAGCAAAGTTAGACAGAGAGAGCAACGTACAGAACACAATTTTATTATCTGTCCTGCTTTTGTATATCAATGCTCGAGCTTAATAACAATATACCTATATATATTGTATATTATAAGCCACGAACGGCACAGTGACTCTGCCTCTCTGTGTCTCGAGTGCGTATGTACTGCCTGTCTATACGTATAGATATGTACGTTGTATATCGATATTGTATACATACACGAGCGAGAGCTCGACTTAATGCTCGCGCCCGTATGTGTGTGTGTGTGTGTCTGCGAAAATATGCGTGGGAATCAACGCGAAAATTTTTATTCTATAGATAGAATATCCGCGATTTTTATCGTTCGCGATACTACTACTCATTCCGCGCCCGACGGCGATAAGTTGCAGAACGCGCGACACACACGGCAAGGAATTCGCGGAGGTTATAGACGAGACTTTTGCACGATCGCTTATCCCTTCGCGATACATAAAAACAGCACCCCGACGGTTATGTTCAGCTCTCTCTCGATTAAACGATGTTATACTCACACGCTCAACGATCGACGGTTGAGGCCCCGCGAGGACGACGACGATGCGACGACGATGACGATTTACGTTGTTGTTGGCTGCAGCTAAGACTACCGAACGTCGTCACCGTAGACATAACCGAGTGCGAAGAGCTAAAGGCTAATTTGTTAATATAGGAAATCAACACCGATTATGTATAACTCGAGACTGCTGCTAGGCCTAGCTAGCTGTATCCGCTGTTGTTGTCGTACAGGATGGGATTCTCTTATATGTTAATGGCGAGGATGTATATTTGTGAACTGTCACTCGCGATGGACATTGCGCGATTGCTTGCGCTACTGCTGCTGCGGGCTGCCTAGTGCCTGGTCTGATGTCGAGCGAGACTTTCGCACGTCAGCTCTCTCTCTCTCTCTCTCTGCTGCTCGGAGCGATGCGATCGTCGCGTTTTCGGGATATTGTATTATCTAGCAGCAGCCAGCTTACTACAGTGGCGCGCGCAGATTGTGTCGTGTGCGATTCGAACGAAGCGCGAGACAAACCGTTACATGCTTATCGCGTGCGAATTTTTATAACTTTTTCACGTTATTGATTGTCGTTTTGTTTTATGGTAAATATTTATGTCCTATCGAAAGTTTTATGTGCTTTTAGTTTTATGCTCATAAATCGAGATGGGTGTGGAAGTTTAATTTTGGCGAATCGATGCTTTCGCGTTCTAAACCAACAATAGCGAGTTTAATCGAGTAATTAACTTTGAGCAGGTGTTCGAATGACTTTTGGCCTCTGAATTCGGAGCCAAACTGAAATTACCGTTACGCGCGTAGAACGGAGTTCCGTTCAAGTAAAACGATGCACCAAAGACCGAATCGTCTGTAAGGTTATGATTTTGGCGGTAAACAAACACCGTTACGGATCAAAACAAACTCTGTCCGTCTCCCAAGCGGACGCTTTTTAATGATATTTAATAGTACAGTTTGAACTTTGAACCGCATCTCGACGAACGTCGTCGTCGTTTCCCGATGCGTCCAAAGATCGACGACGTCGTCATGGAAAATAATTCCGAGTCCGAGTCCTCGAGAAGCGGCAGCAGCGGAGCGCTGTCGCGTCCGGCGGGCGTGCGGGAGTCGCGCAAACAGTTCAACCTCGCCGCGGTCAGGAAAGCGCCTGATTTTGCGGCCGGCGCCGGCGACAACGGCGAGAATTTGGATCCTCTTCTCGATTTGGAAGGTGAGAGCTTTGTGCTTTGCTCCGTTTTTATTTATTTTTTTTTTTCAAGTATGCCTTCGCATTCGAAATAATATTCGAATAATAATAATGTTATTATCAGTGCTGCTGAGACAGACATGGAACATCTGCGGCGTCTCGACCTTGTTCAACTTCCAATGCGAGAACGAGGTGGTGTTGAAGCAGTACGCGAAAAAGTTGCGCGAACAGGTGGCCTGCATGCTGTCGCAGGAGGACGTCAGTTACGAGGCCAAGGTATCCGTTTTGGAGCTCGAGAGGCCCAACAGCGACGACCATCCAATTATCAAAGTGAGTAAACGATTGCACAATTGCTTTTATGAAATGTCATTGATTGACTTTACATTTTTTGACTCTTTCAGATTAACGTCACAGCCAAAGTCGCGACGAAAGGCGACCGAGAAACGATGGTTTATTCGGGCTACCTCATATCCTGGGGAAATGAGAACGTTGAGAATTCCTTCACAGACAATGCCACAAAATTGCCACTGCTTCTCTGTCGTGGAACACCCAACACCATGAAGGCTGTGCATGCCACTCTGTCTCGCTTGTTCGATTGTATCATTGTAACTTTACCAGCCAACTCTGAAGATTTAGCGTGGCTGTTACCCATTATAATAAGTCCAGGATGCGGTCAAGATTCTGCCAAAGATGCGGATGAAGCTTCATTGGAGTACAGAATTCCCAATTTACCAACCTCTGAAAGCATCACCATTAAATTTCAAATTAAAAACCTTCAAAATTTATTGAAGAGGTAATTTCATAAAAAAATAACATATTTTCTATCACATACTTCTTAAATTTTAATTTACAATTTTTTTTTCAGTTTTCTTAGTAATGAAGATGAAATAAATGCCCATGAAGTTCATAAATTTCATGAAATCATTCAGCATCAAATTTTAGAAGTCAGTAGTTTACAACTGGGACTTTGTATTCTTCACAGAATTAGTTTACCTTGTGTAACTATTTCTGGAAGCAAGGTACTTAAAAATTGTTTTCTATAAAAATTTTTTCAAACAAACAAAGATTGCAAAATAATGAATTTTTCAGATGAAAGTGACAAATGTTCAAGCCATGAATGCAGTTTTGACTTACTTGAATGAGAAAGCAATGGATGCTTTACATTGTCACGTGGCTCAGCTGAGTATATGCAAGTAGTTATTGGCTTCATTCAATGTGAAATTAAAAATAATTCTGTGTAAAAAATATTTCAATTATATATACGACAGGTAAATAACATGTAGACCTAGTACAACACGAATAGCACTGGAAATTATTTAATAAGTGCAATTACGTTACTGTTTTTGGGAGTTGTTCATGTTGAATTTTTATGTTTAAGAAATAGGTATGTCTGTAAATACAGGGAAAACAGAAATCTTGTTAAAATTAAAAATTATAAACTATTTTTTTATACAATATAGTTACTCATATTTTTATTCATATTTAAAAGCTATCATTTGAGTATTTACATGGAAGTAAGTCTAAGTATTTTTTTAAAATCTACAAGACAAATGATGCAAATTTGATAGTACTAACTGGTTCTGTAATAATTACAATTCTTACTAATTTATATAATATCATGACAAGTTTAATTTTCTTTGCACTTTGTAAATGAAACTTAATACTTTAATCAAAGTAATTATTATAAATTAAGTATTATTACAGGTACTATCATGAATTTAATATCTTATTCAAGCTACCTCCATTTTTTTATCTTTTATCCTACTTTTTGACTCTGCAATTTCCTTTAAAATATGATTATGGTAATCTATATAACCCTCTGGTTTCACATCATACTGTTCTGGTATACTTATACCAAATACTTCTGGTAACATATACACCTTCAACCACGTAACAAGTGGGGTTTTTCCATTAAAATAGTGTCCTTCTTTATGGAAAAATAATATTCCATCTAATGGATACAAATCAGGTGTATTTTCCAAACAGTCGCTTAGATCAGAAGGACTTGTAAAAGTAGGTAACAATTCCATTGATACTTCATTTACACCTTCAACTTTTTCTTTCAACTGACCGCTTAGCTCTTCTATTTTAGATTTTAACCAGAAAAATCTGAACTCAGCCTGCAAAACAAAAATAAAATATGCATAAAAAATTAATAATTTAACTCTTACCATAAAAAAATGAATTAATTCCTCACTTCACAATTGTTGATTTGTTGGTCTGACCATGCCATAGAATCAAGAATATAACATACGCTTTTTTCTTCTGACCATACACCATCCAATACTGTATAACAATTTTTCTCGTATTTACGACCACCCCCTGGAATCAAAGATCTGAAAGTAGCCAATTTTTCTCCTTTCCTTGTAAACATTCTTGTAGTTCCCTGTAAATAATATACACTGTCATTGCCAATTGTTGATCACATTTTAAAATTTAATTACCTTGCCAGCTATGATGACCACTCTTTTTCCAATTGGACAAGGCATCATCACCCAATTTTCTGAAAAATCTTCCGGAACTTCGCTCATCCATTCAGATAACATTAACAGTCTTCCGTACTCTCTTCTTAGTTTGTGGTGTCTTTGTTTCTTCTGATCTACTTCCATATCTTCCGACTCCTCGACTTCCTTCATTTCTACTTCTTCATCGTCCGAGGCAATGATATCTTCGAGTATCCCTCGAGCCGAATTGATCGCATCGTTACGATTTCTGAAATCCCATTATTTTCATAAATACCGCCAATAATCGTAAAAAAGTAGAACTCACTTTTTCTGTTCGTCCAGTAACATTCTTCTTCGGGTCTCTTGCGGCGTTTCTTCGTAATCGATCGCCAATCGGACGTTGTGTTTGTTAATCGGTTTCTTGTAAAACGCGGCTCGTTCGTTGCATTTTTCCCTCTTTCCTTCATTATGAATGTCACTGCGTTCGTTGAGCGAAACCGTGGAAGTTGCCATTTTCGCTAAAGTTTAGCACGTCAATTATTTTATCGAGGGTAGCGAGTCAACGACGTGCGTCTGCGGCGGGCTCGACTGACTAGCGGCTACTGTTTACAAATACACGCAGTTTTTGCAGCAAACAACCGCAGCACGCGGTACTGCTGTGTGCGTGCTCCGAAGTTCGACACTTGACCGTCATTCGACGACGAGTGATAAAATGACAGGTGCGCGCATGACTAAATTGTAGCAGACTATAATTTTGCGAAAATGATCGCGAACTCATCGAAGCTCGATATTTAATCTTATCTTCTACCTGTCATCGACTGTCGCATTGCTCGATAGCAAATCGAACTTCTGACATTCGAAGCTTGAATTTCTGATTTTTCGCGGTGTTTGCAGTTTAATGATTTTGGGATTAAATGATTTAGGATCTAAGCCGTGCAATAGTTGTAAAAACTTAAAGCTTCAGCCGTTTAGAGCGCTAGTTGCTGGCTAAAATTCCGAGAGAAAGTCAAAGTGCACTGGTGCATTACGTCTTTGGCAGTAGTTTACGTGGTGTTTTTCTTCGCGTACCGAGCAAAATATACAGGAGTTACACATCGTGTATGCAAAAACATCAAGATAATTTAATTACCGCGAGATCGATCGAGAACGAGACTCTGCTCCGTTTATTTACGATCTTTAAAAAATGACGTGTTAGTTTATTTTCTGCTTCACTATTTCATGAACACCAAGATGGGTACTACTGATCAACATCTGACTAGTTTGATCAAGTGGCTTTCGACGTTCGATTTGAGGTCCCCTTACAAAACAATAGACGATATCAGCAGTGGAGAGGCCTTGGCCGAAGCTCTTACACAAATAGCTCCAGAATGGTTTACTCCTATGTGGTACTCCAAAATCAAAAGAGACATTGGCAACAATTGGAGATTGAAAGTGAGCAATCTCAAAAAAATCATCGAAGCTGTCACAGAGTACTACGTAGAATGTTTGAATCAGCCACTGTCGGGCTACATCAGGCCAGATGCTCAAAAAATAGGTGAACACTGCGATAATCAACAACTCAAGAGACTCATGCAGTTAGTACTTGGTTGTGCTGTGAACTGCAACGAAAAACAACTGTACATTACAAGAATCATGGGATTAGAAGAATCTGTGCAGCAGGTATGTTTTATATATTTATTAACATATTAACAATTTTTTGTATGAAATAATATTTTACTTGACTTTTTTTGTTATTAGGTCATTATGCAAAGTATACAAGAATTAGAAAACAGCGTACATGGACCAAAGCTTAGTCTTGGAGCAAGTTTAAATTTTGAATCGTTTGATGCTGCAGATGGGAGTCAAAATAGATTATTAGCAGAATTGCAAGCAGCAGTTGATTCAAGGGATAATTTGGCTCAAAGATGCCATGAATTAGACCAACAATTATTGCTCTTGCAAGAAGAAAGGAACACAATGCAATTGGAAAATAAAAAATTACAAGAAAGATTAGATGAATTTGAAAGCATAGAGGATGGTGGAGCTCCTAACAGTCTTAAATATTCTGGTTTGAGAAAACAAATTGAAGCTCTTAAGGATGAAATGTTTAAACTTGAAACTTCACGAGATGATTATCGATTGAAAGTAGAACTACTAGAAAAGGAAATTCTAGAACTTCAAATGAAACATATAGAACTGCAAAAAGCTGCAGACGAAGCAAATCATTTGAAAGATGAAGTGGATGCTTTACGTGAAACAGCTGATAAAGTAGCCAAATATGAACTTAGCATTGAATCATATAAGAAAAAAATGGAAGATTTCAGTGATCTGAGACGACAAGTGAAAATTTTAGAAGATAAAAATACAGAATATTTACAAAATAAAATTGAGTACGAAGAAGAGGTCAAACGAGCTAATTTGTTGCGCAGCCATTTAGAATTATGTAAAAAGCAGTTGGCTGAAGTACATCATAAATTAGATGAGCAAAATAATAAATGTGACAAGCTGGAATATGAATCAAAGAAACTAGAAGCTCAACTTGGAGCTGTGCAACGTGAAAGAGACAGATTGATTGTTGAGAGAGATACATTAAAAGAAACTAATGAAGAACTCAAATGTACACAATTTACTGCAGTGCAAAATGTTGGAAATTTGAGCACTGACGAAGCAGTAGTCAATACTGAAATTATACCACCTGCAATTAAGGAAAAATTGGTGCTTCTACAGCACGAGAATAAAATGTTGAAATTAAATCAGCAGAAGGGTGTCGATGATAAATCACCCATACAAGCTTTATTGGATGATTCAGAGGAAAGATTGAACAATCTCAGAGCCCAAAATCGTAAAGCTAATCAGAAAATATTAGAATTAGGTAAAAACAGATTTATATTATTTTTTATCTAAAATTTTCTTACAAAAATAAATTATTTAACATTTTATTTTCAAATTTTTAGAAACAAAAATCGAGGAAATGACAGGTACTACGGATTCTGGGAAATCCGTGCCCAAAGTTCAATCTCTGCAAGACGAGCTTCATCGCTTGCAGTCCGAGTGCGAGCGACTGTCCGTCCACAACGAGGAGCGCGAAAGCTCCCTTCAGACTCAGAAGCAAAAGATACAATCTCTGCAGGAGACCCTGTCGAGAAAGGAATGCGAACTCGCGTCTCTCGAGGATCGCTACAAGAAATACGTGGAGAAAGCCAAGAGCGTCATCAAAATCTTAGATCCCAAACAGCAGAGCGGCAGTCCTTCGGACTTGCTCCGAAACAGGGACGAGAAGGACAAGCGAAAAGACGAGAATCCCGAAGCCAAATTGTTCCGCGAAATGGAAGAGAAATTAATGATATCGGCGTTTTATCAATACGGTCTGACCAGGCATCGAGAAGCCGTCGATCAAAGATTGGCGGTGTTGGCCTCTGGACAGGGACAATCTTTCTTAGCTAGGCAAAGACAACCTACTACTCGAAAGACATATACGACTTATAATTCGAAATAATTTATTGTACTATCATCTTTTTTAACACATTTACGAATGTGGGATGGTTGTCTTGTAAATTTGGAAAGGGACACGTGCAAGCAATTTTGTTGAAATTGTCAAAATAATTTAAAAGAAAGCAAAGCACTGTAAAAGAACTGTGCTGTGGAATCTTCAAGTACAGAGATATTCTGTATTTAATAATCTGTCTTCATTTAATGGACGTTATTTGTACATCAATGCTTGATTTTTTTCATTTAGATATTTTTTTGTTGTGTTGTGTTTACAATATTATATGTGCAAATCATGTTTATACATTTTTAAATCTATTATTTATATGGTGAGAGTGCAATGAAAACTTTGCCTTTTTATAATTTAAAACTCATAGAATGGTTTGTTGAAAGTAATCTGTAATTTATTTTACATTTTTATCTTTTTATAGAACATTCTGGGAACCACGAGAATTTTAGGACTATTTCAATCATGAATATTTATTTAAATATTGAAATCATTCTAGCTAAGTATGATTGTATAAACTTAGTTATGATTCACTAGAACAAGTGTTAGAATAAGAAACTAATTATGACATTTATTATGAAATCAATTGTATTTTTTGCAACAAAAAAGATAAATATTTTTTTAAACAGTATTGATACACTTTATATAAAGAATTTGTATATAAACCAATTATAAAAGCTAAAATAATAAACACACTATATTGTGTTGTATAAATAATTTGATAAAACATTAGCATTATAAATTTTTTTACAATTCTTACACTAGACATTTTTTCCCCTAAATAAAGTATAACTAGCTCAAGCATCATCATTAAAATATGATTTTATGCACAAAAGTTGGACACCAACAATATTATTAATTTCATTACAATTATTTTTAGTGTATTCCATTGGCTCTCTTTGCTACTGGTTTAGAACCAAGTGACTTTGTATCTTTCAATTTTTCTTCTAGTTCAATGCTTCTTTTTTCATGAATTTTTTCAACAAATTCATTAGTTCTTTTATTCAACACTGTATTATTTTGATATTTACTTTTGGCTTGTACTATATCACTGTAACACCTTTGATAATAAAACACTGCATAAATAAGATCCCATGCACTAAATTCTGGCCACAATGTTTCAGTAAAGTACACATACGTGAAGCTAGTCTAGAGAAAGAAAAATGTAATGAAAGTTTACATAAAAATTTCTACAAAATTGAATCACCATCATATTACGATCACTTACTTGCCACATAAGAAAATCACTAAAACGTGTTTCTCCTGAGGAACGTATTAATAAATCTGGATCTTCAGACTTGTGCGTGTAAAGGCACTTGGAAACAAGATTCTCGTCTATATCATCTACACTTATTTCACCTTTCTGTACACTATCTACAATATCTCTTGCAGTACATGCAATTTCATCGTGAGCTAAAATGACATCAATAAAAATATAAATCCACACACTAATTAACTGTAAAAATGATGAGTAGAACATTGTATCACTTACAAGTATATGAAAAAGCAACATTTAAAATAGCTTTATTATTATCTTTTGTTGTTCGCATAGCTTCCAACATGAGCGAGAGAACATCAGGAGGTACCAGTGTTAAATTACCTATGACTCTTACACAAATACCATGTTCCATCAGTTTATCCCTGCAACAAGCACAGTTAAGATATTAACAATCAAAAACAACGATGAATCACAATGGTGTATTCATGAAAATACCTTTCGTCCAACAACTTCTGAAACTTTTCTCTGGCCAAATTCATCAAACAGTCCACCTCCTCCTGACTCCTTTTGAAATTTTCTATACTAAATGCAAAAACAGTGACTTCTGGAATGCCAAATTCCAAGCACCATTGCAAAACTTCTGCTAGTTTGTTGAAGCTGAAAGTGAATTGTGTTGAGAGTGATGTTAGAGTTATGGTCAAGTCATTGATAGCGGTACAGAGAAGATGCTTTTTCATGTTGCATCATGCTCGAATCTCGTGACAGTGCGCGCACTTACCCTTGGGAGTGACCCTCGATCTTCTTGACGCCGGCCTTGTTCGCGTACCTCCTGTTGCCGTCCATGATGATGGCTACGTGCTTGGGCACGTTGCCGCTCCTGAGGACTTTGATGGCCAGCGACTGAAGCCAGCTGAGGGTGTTCTTGGCGATCCAGGACATCGTCGTCGTCGTCTTGGTGCGCCGCAGAGTCTCAACATTTATAGATAGGATATAGAAGCGTATGAAAACGCGTATAACTGTCTAGTTTTCCTCCTGAATAAACATGACTTATGACTTATTCGGCACCGAATGAACTATATATATGTTGTGTAAGCACTGGACGCATACACGCGCAAGTAAAATGCCTCGGCTTACGCCGCACTATCTTATCTGCGTCAAAAGCACACTCGATAGCGGCGGGCCGTTATAATAATTTTGCCAAACGTGTAATAGCGGAGCGCATGCCGCTGTCCACGCGCTTCAATTCTTCTTTCCCCGGGGGCACCCGCGTCTTTCTGCTCGCAGGGACGCTCTCGACTAGCCGCTGTTTTCTTTTTTTTTTTTGCATACGTCTACTCTACGCCGTCAGGTGTACTACTACTACAAATATAGCTATAAGCTGCGGAGAGTTGGCGTGCGGTGTCACGTGTACACAGCAGAATCAGCAGCGGCAACCACCGCCTTTCGCGCAAGCTGCTGCACTTGACTGAAGCATCGCGTATATCGTCTTCGATGTCTCGCAGCAAAAAAATTTCATTAAACGATGCGAGAAAGAGAGAGAGAGAGAGAGTCTCGCGTTTGACCACATCACCGCGTTCGGTGCCGCGTGTAATTTCGCATTGGTTAAACGATAAGGCAGTAGCGTACGTACGTAGATATAGTAAGTACTACTATATACGTATGTATTAGCAGCAAGAAACGCGGACGAATGAGACGAAGCCACGGCTCGGCTACCTATATGTAAGTGGCCGCGCTTGTATGTATATGGGTGATTTTTGTCTGTCGTGTTTTTCTGTCAAAATCGGACACGAGTCGCTGCGGTTTTTTTGTAAATTAAACACTGTAGGTTTGCACCGCACAGAAATAAACGTGAAACTGAAGAATTTTGGAAAATTTGGACTTTTTGAAAAAAACTTAATTACCTCGATTTGTCGACTTTCTACCTGTTGGATAACGGAAAAAATTATTGATATTTGTCGAAGAGAATGTTGAAGTAAAACTTCATTATGCACGCCGAAGTTAACGCAATACTAAATTAACATTTTTTTAAAAGGAGTTTTTTCAATTTCTTACCGTTGCTATTTACTTGTGGCTTATTTTTTTCTTTCGAGTATTTTATTTTCTGCAGGCGTTTGAAACGTTTGAGATAATTTGTGTGTTAATACAATTTAACACAGTGCCCAAAATTATTTGGCAATAATTGAACCTTATACTTTTGTATAGATTTTATTATTAAAAATACTTCTAAAAAATTTCTTACAATTTTGTACAACCATCACGAATAACATATTTTTACACTTTGTTTGCGTAATAATGAATGATTATTTACAATTTAAATCAATTCCTCATACCCCATTTATGGGTCTAGCTATTCAGGAGAAAATAAAGAATGAAGCTTATCACTTTTGCACACGAAATTTAAAATGGCTCAAGTTTTTTTCATGAAAATTGTAATTTTTGTGTACAATTTTCCAAATTCTCTAAAAATATCTCGTCACATTTTTCCATAAATGAAAACTTGGCCATCGATCATCATCTTCCAGCTATTAAAAAAATTGATAATATACTCTATCCATTTCCGTCGAAATTTATGTTCTTTAAAACCATCTTGCTCTGAACACAGTAATTTCGGTGACAATTCCTAACCGACGATAATCTTATAAACATGATCCAAATTGTGTTTGCCGGCAAAATTTTTTGAGTCATCAAAAAACTCGTATGTACAAAACATTTTTGAGACCCAAATCTTTAATAAAAAATAATTCAAAGGAATTCTATCCTTACAGAGATAAAAACTGCAAGAATTAAAAACGGTATTTTTTTCGGTCAATATAGGTGCTTGGGTATTTGAACAAAAATTTGATTTTTATAATCATCGACACCGAAATTTGAATAAAAAAAACACCATTACAAATCTCTCCGAGAAGTCAGCTCACCCGTAGACCGATACCGTGTGCGCAAAGTACCACAATGGATCGCTAGATGGCTTCATCCTAGTTTCCGACAAACTCCCTTACAAAATCATCAAGTTAAAGACTTATACATGAAAAACACAGCTCAACAGTGTCCATCATTTAATTTGTAACGGTTGCGAAAGCCATGCACGATCGTAAAAGAATTCTCGAACGTCGTTGACGTTTCCATTTTACGATGCTGCTCCGCGGCGCAACATCCGACACACAATTGAAGCGCCTGAAAATGTGAATTATTTGCGGTCACACAATTATTCTAAAGTAATAATTTCCTATATTAATTATAATACCTACATTTGCGCTTGGTCTCATCTCGAACGCAAAGTTGAATCAAGATTCATCACAACACATAAGTATAACTACGACTATAACACAGCTCCTAATACATACATCTAAAGGCGTTATAATTATTGCTTTTTTTTCAATCATCCATCATCATCAACTGTTCAAGCCCAGCACCGTCCTCGCGAAAATTCTCAACTCTCGATCCTTCAGATGTCCCAGAATCTCCTCGGCGCAGACGTCCGGCAGATCGCCCCCGACGCTCGACAGCCTGTACAGCCTCGTCAGCGTCCTCTTGGCCTCCTCCAGCAGCGGCCGCCTCTTCTTGCCCCTGGCCAATTTGTATCTCACCACGTTGCCGTAGATCGGAAATTTCTCCGCGAATCCGCCGCCGTCCTCCTCCTCCACCGTGAATCTCAGCCTCGCGTTCAGCGAGTATCTCGCCAGTTTGTTGGGGCTGCGCTCGCGGGCCAGCCTCCTCAGCCCGAGCTCGTCCAGCCTCTCCAACTCCTCCTGGCAGGCGCGTCTAAAGCCATCCTCGTCGAAGTCGCGACACCTCTCGGCCAGTCTCTCGTAGTGGCTGTCGACCTCGCGGCTCGCCGCCTCCCCTAAAACCCTCCGGCGCTGCACGTGACTGAGAAACGACCAGGCCAGCGGCGAGGCCTGCTTCACGTAGGCGATCGAGCTTCGAGCACCACCACCACCACCGATCGAGCCCACGTCCGCCCCGGCCTCCAGCAGAGCCTCGAGCAAATCCTCTCGATTACCACCGCCTCCACCTACGCCGCAGCACTGCAGCAGCAGATACAGGGCAGTCCTGCCGTAGGCGTCGCGGGCGTCCACGTCGGCGCCGTGATCCAGCAGCAGTCGCGCCAACTCGGGCGAGTTTCTCAGCACGGCGTAGTGCAGACCCGTGTACTCCATGGAGTGACTGGAGGCCGGCGTGTCGGGCGAGTGGCCGAGTCGCAGATACTCGGCGCAGATCGGCAACGAGCGCGGCGAGTACAGGCAGGCGATGTGAAAGTGGGTGAGGCCCGCGTGGCCCTGGGTACTGGGCTCGGCCTCCAGCTGGAACAGCCTCGGCTCGTACAGGGCCCGTCGCCTGTACGACAGCAGATGCAGCGGTGTGTTGTTTCTCGCGTCGCACAGCCACGGATTAGCGCCTCGATCCAGCAGCCAGCCGATCAGCTCGGCCTGCTCGAAGTTGGCGGCGATGTGCAGGGGCGTCCAGCCGGCCCAGACGGGCGAGCGCGGATCGACCGGCTCGTTGATCCTGGCCGCGGAGACGAGATCCCGCGAGCCCCGGGCGCAGCCGAGATGCATCCGGTCGAGGTAGCGATAGAAGTGCGTGCCCAGGCAGCGCTCCTCGACGAGCCTCGAGATCTCGGCCTTGGCCGACGTCTCCTCGACCTCATCCGCGAGTTCGGAATCTCCGCGCGTAGAGTTGTTGTTGTCGTAGACGTAGAGATCGCCGAAGGCCAGATTACCCGGACTCAGAGCGACGTCGAGAGCCGTGAGGCCCTTGGCGTTGCGCGCCTCGCAGGTGGCGTTGCGCTCGAGCAGGTGGCGCACCACCCTGAGACGCTTGAAGGCCACGGCGAAGTGGAGCGCGGTGTAGCCGCACCAGCAGGGCGAGGCGGACTTGATGATGGCGTCGATGTCGCCGCCCGCCTCGAGGTAAGCGTCGATTATCTCGATGGTCTTGAGCTCGTCGTCGTGTTGGAATATGTTGAACATCAGCGAGTTGAACATTTTTTTACTTTTTTTTTCTATTTTTTCACACTCACCGACACACGAGAGAGCTACGATGGCCTATTGCGACGCGCACGAGGGACGGTTTTATTGATCGCGCGACGATAGCCTGAGCGAATCTCTCGGACCGAAACGTCAAAAGCACGCTGCATTATTATTGCTATATGTAAGTCGGACTCGCGCGCGTCCAACTCGGCCGAGCAGACGACACTGACGTACAGCAGCAGCTGATCTTTTGACAATCAGTAGTTGTAGTAGTAGTAGTAGTAGCAGAGTGCATTATTGTATACGCGAACGAAAGGAGTGCAGAGGCGCATGTCTCGCGAGTCACGTGTCGGTGCATGCGTCGTTCCTTGCGGTCGTGGAAGATAGGTCGATAATTTTGAATGGAAATGAAATTATGTTCATCAAAAGAATAATAATTTTAGATAACAAAATATAAACGTATCTTATTATTATTTTCTCTTTGCATCAATGGTAGCTTTCCTTATACTTACATCAGAAAGCCCAAGAGTATTGCAACAAGATTCGTGTACACTTTCCCTATATTTTTAAGAAACAGTCGTTGCGATTTTTATCCAGCCCAATTTGTAGCCAGACTTAGACCGTTCAGCGATGTACAAATTCATTAATTTTTTACCCGACTAAAAAATGTTGAAAATCGTTGAAAGAAAACTTGTTAATTTTTCAAATTCTCTAAATTCATTAAAAATTCATGTACAAAATTATTTATTAGTAGGTTCGAGAACGAATTAAATAGGTAAATGTGTTGATATTTTTTACTGAGAGGTAAGAAAAAAGGTTCTCTTTGTCATTGCGACAAAATGATTAATAGTTTGAAATACTTTATTGTTCTTTACAAAATTACACGCCCCTAAGGATTGCTTCGATTATGTACTCCATTTAAGTGCCTCTTAAGATAATTCTGATGTCGAAAAGATTTGTGACACAGCACACAATCGAAAGATTTGCTCCGAGCATGTACAGTATTCATGTGAGTTTTGAGGGAATACATACGTCCATATGACTTTTGACAGATCTCACATTCATAGGGTTTGCTCCGATGATGTACTGTAATGATGTGATCTTTCAAGTGATGTTTTTGTCCAAATGCATTGTGACAAATATCACATTCGAAGGGTCTGCTCTGATCATGGACTAATCTTATGTGGTTATTTAGATTACTCTTATGTGAAAATGATCTTTGACATATTTCACACTCGAAGGGTTTGATGCAATCATGTACTGCATTTATGTGCATTTTGAGGTAACATTTGTATGTAAACGATTTATGACACATCTCACATTCGAAGAGTTTGCTACAGTCATGTTCTGTATTTATGTGCCTTTTGAGTTTATAGTGGTGTCCAAATGATTTCTGACAAATGTCACATTCGAAAGGTTTGCTTCGATCATGCACTCCAATTATGTGAGATTTGAGGTTACCTTTTTCTCCAAAGGATTTGTGACAAATGTCACATTTAAAAGGTTTTTTACGTTCATGAACAACATTTATGTGAACTGCGAGGGTACTTTTTTCTCCAAAGGATTTGTGACAAATGTCACATTCAAAGGGTTTGCTCCGATCATGTACTTCATTCATGTGAGCTTTGAAGCTTTTCAGGTAAACAAATAATTTGTGACAAATTATACATTCATATCGTCTACTTCTCCTGTGTGTCGTATTAGCATGTCTTTTCAGACTCACCTTTCCTCCATACGTTTTTTTACAAAAATCATTCTTTTTGTATAATTTGGTTGGAGTCCTTTTTTCGAAAACTTGTATTGCCTCTAATTTGTCAAGTTTCAATTGTAATTTGTCCGAAAATGGACCATTATTATCATAATCAAATTCTTTTTTTATCAAAATTATTAAACTTTTTTCATTCGAATAGTTAGTCTCAATTTGGTTTTCTGTTTTCACTGCAGGTGGACAACTTTCACACTCAGATTTGCACGTAGTTTTTGATAGAGATTTCAGTTCAGGGATCTCATACTTGCACTCAAAATCAATGAATATATTTTCATTTATGTCATTGGTCGGATTTTCGTTTTCTATTTTCACAATCGGTGGATTACTTTGCTGCTCAGATTTACAATGGGTCGCAGATAGAGATGTTACTTCAGTTTTAGCATCTCTAACCTTCTTGCGCTCCAACTCCATGAAATTTTTCTAAAATAAAAATTGTGTAATAGTTTTTGTTAGTGAAAAATACGAACATAATTCAAATCATTGAACTCACTGATAAATTATGTGTGAAAGTTTCAACGTTTTCGGCTTTGCAAAATTCCACCGAATCGAAAACATAATCGTCGCCTGCAGTCGTCAAAGTATCGCTCGACTCTTCTTTAATACTGAAAAATAATCGAGTTTAGAAATATATGCGTTATGGGACTCTAAGTAAGACGCCTAAATGTTTACCTAATTACGTCACTGCCGTTTTCCATTGCTCTCTTGATTATAACGTGTAAATATACTGTGAATTTTCACGATTTGTACTGTGGAAATATTCGAGGTTAAACACTTCTTAAGTACCCATAACCTAACACTGTAGCCCGAATTCCTCAATTTGTAAACAACTCGCTCGTCGACGAATTCAGCTCTTCACTGGCGACTGGACGCACTATACTATTCGAGGAGAAGACGCCGCGTTTACGATAGCTCTTTTAGCGATACTTTCCCCCTCCACTGTCGACTAGTTAGAAGCAGTAGTATATTGCGATAATTATATGTTAGGCATTCGCGTGTTTCTAAAATAACACCAAAATTGCGATGCAATTGTCATTCATTCAGGCGCACAACTTGTTCACATTATATGTTCAAAATAAATATCTGTGCAAATTCACAACGATTCATTACATAATGGTATCACACTTGTGATATTAAAAATAAAGTTCAATTAATCATCGTAACGTAGCCAATGCTCTAATTTCTTATCTGCATTTCTATTTGTATTATTATTTTCTCCATGTAATCTTCTTTTATATACTTTATTATATTAATTTTATTTTTTGCCTTGATTGTATCATCCAAAATAGACGTACTACGATTGATCGTTGTTAGTATTACTGAGCATTCATGCTGTGGCTGGTAATGTTCCAAAGCACATTGAAGTACGTAGCCGATGTTTTTATTACCTGAGACAATGAGTATAAATACATGAATTTGGTGGAAAATCGTTCCATCAATTGCGAAAGTTCAGCGTATAAAATTAATTTTTTTACTTTAGCGAAGCTCGCCATGGATAAAACGATGATCTTTCCCGCGGTCAGGGCGAAGGGCCTGTTCGCGCGGACGAGCAGTAGGACGATGCTGCGCGCGTTGCTGCCCGAAAGCTTGTGCCAATCGGCCATGTAGATGGATCTGCCGAGCTCGTCGAACTGCAGAAAGATCGTTTACAGTCAAGCAGTGCATTTTTGTTTGTTTTTTTTTTACTCAATCGTACGGACCTTATCCATGAGTATCTGTCCGTAGTAACACAGAATGAATAAATTGTAGGTCATGCTCGACAAAGAGATCGCGAGAGTGTAAGCTCGCGTGTAATTGTGTTGGAGTAGCGCCTTTTGAAAACAACGTACATTATTAAAAGGGCGATGCGTAAGACCTCTAAGACAAAGCGGCGACCTTATGCTCACTCACGATTATCATGTAATATCCAACGAGGCAAATCAATACTGTATTTCCCACGAACTCGACGAGGCAGAGTTCATTGAAGATGTCCCCGAGCTCCTTGGCTAATCTGAAAAATTGTTATCCAAATTTACTGTCCGCATCGATGATATAGCTACTTTTCATTATACCTGTACAAATTCAGTTGATCGTCGACGATTCGCTTGAGCATCCGATTGTCGAGTTGATCGACGGCTCGCTCGATCGTCGAGCCGAGCACGTCGATTCGGCCGGATATGTGCATGACGAACCAGATGAAGATGCTGCACACTCCGCACGTCGAAGAAAATCTCACGACACTGCCGAGACTTTGCAGGGCAAACACGTAATCGTAGGCCGGCCGAGTCTACGAGGGCGATCGATGTAATTTGGATTCAAACGAATGAACGAATTTACAGTACACTCACCCGAGGATTGAAGAAAATAAAATTTCCTGGATAGGCCAGCTGGTGCAGGGTAACGTTGTCGACGACGATCGGCGCACGACTGAGCGGTCCTACGGTCGAGTAAAACAGTCCACCGGTGAACGTCAGGGCCATGCAAAACTTGGTCATGCTCCGAGCTCGTCTCGCGTAGTCCAGCATCGTCGACCTCTCCAGTGGATCCTTCACATTTTGCCAGTCCTCGGCCATTCGCCTCAGGCAGGACTCGATTTTGGGACCCTTCCACATCAGATTCGCGTACTTGCTCATGCATAAGGCAGAGAACAGTAAAGGTGCCGAGAGTTGCAGTCGTACCTTGAAGGTCGGACAAAACCCATTGTGAAAAGTTTCGTCGTGTTATTTATAGTTCGTTGCGTACAAGAGACATTGCTTTATATACAGTAGCGCTACTTATGTCAATCAAAAAGTCACGCGTGTACTTATCGCACGCAGCGCTATAGCAATAATTACATGCTACAAGCGATTCGTTTTACCGACCGAAATATTCGGAGCGTCCGAGTATATGAATATGCCCAGCGGTATCATCATGAAGAGACTCAGCGCGACGCAGATCGCCACCAGAAAGTTCCTTAAGAATCTCGGATAATCCTTTTGCAGAGGCCACAGTCCCACGGACAGGAGAATCGATCGAGTCATTCGCTCGGCGCGCAGGTATCCGTCCTCGTTCTTCCATACTTTTTTAACTTTCGAAGACATGGCTTTAAAAAAATATGTTTATAAAAAAAAAAAAAACTGCGAAGTTATTCGATCGACGCTGTTCGCGCTACTGCTCTTGAGCTTGAACGGAACGAAGCTTTTTGCACACGTGTACATAATGATAATAATAAACTTTATCTGCGTGCGTGGTAGACATTGATTATATAGTGCATGCTGAAATGAGCAGTTGTGCTTTTTTATAACTTCAGTTTTTTGTAACTTCATTTTAGCATTGAATATTGATTCCAATTTAATATGAAGGCTGTATAACTCATAGTTTTGTTTTTCGAAATATATACGATTCTCTTTTTTTTCTTTTAACTTTCGTTTAAACGACCGTATCAAATTAATATACAGTTGCTTAATCTTCCGCGTGAATGTTGGAATCAGTTGTGAGGTGGTTGGGCGATGATAATAATTAATAATTATTTTTCAAGGCCAGAATTTTCTACTCGCATGCGAATAGGGATCATTCATTTGGAAAAAGGTTGTACTAATAGTTGAAATATCGGTCTAACTGCAATTCGTCAACCCAATAAGGGAGCGATATAAAAATTCAATCATTTTGTACTCGACAACCGTAGATCAATCAATCAATAACGAACAAATGTCATTAAATAATGAGCGATTAAAAGATTCAAGGTGAATTCGTTCACATTTTTTCAAAACGATTTGACTTTTTCTAATCTATTGAAAATTCATGCACAAAATTGCACGCTTGCGCATTAATGGGTTAAAAACGAAGACGAAACCGTTTTAAAAGTTTATGAACAGAAGGTGAAAAAACATTTTTTACAGTCAGAACATGATGAATAGAAATTTGACATTGTTTATTGTTTTTCATACAATTGAAGAATAATCATGTGAAAGATTTTACAAAATTACATAACGCAAACAAGTGAGTGTATACAAATCTTCATTGGATATGAATTTCTCGTTCTCGGAATCAATTTCACGCCCCTAAGGTTTGCTTCGATTATGTATCTTTAATACATGAGTATTTAGATGACTTTTTTGTCCAAATGATTTGTGACAAATATCACATTCGAAGGGTTTGCTCTGATCATGGACTAATCTTATGTGTTTATTTAGATTACTTTTATGTGAAAATGATCTTTGACATATTTTACATTCGAAGGGTTTGCTACGATTATGTACTGCATTTATGTGAACATTAAGATCACCCTTGTGTCCAAATGATTTGTGACAGATCTCACATTCAAAGGGTTTGCTCCGATCATGTACTGCATGTATGTGTCTATTAAGGTTACTCTTATCACCAAATGATTTGTGGCAAATATCGCACTCGAAGGGTTTTCTATGGACATGTACTGTATTTATGTGAATTTTAAGCTTACTTTTTTGTCCAAATGATTTGTGACAAATCTCACATATGAAGGGTTTGCTACGATCATGTACTGTTGTTATGTGCTTATTGAGGTCACTTTTTTGTCCAAATGGTCTGTGACAACTGTCACATTCGAAGGGTTTGATACGATCATGTACTGATTTTATGTGAGAATTAAGGTAACACTTGTATCCAAATGACTTGTGACAAATCTCACATCCGAATGGATAGTTTCGACCATGTATAACATTTATGTGTTTATTTAGGTTACTTTTCCATGCAAATGATTTGTGACAAATGTCACATTCGAAGGGTTTACTTAGATTATGTACTGCACTTATGTGACGATTGAGATCACTTTTTAGTCCAAATGATTTGTGGCAAGTATCACATTCAAAGGGTTTGCTCCGAACATGCACTTCATTCATGTGAGCTTTGAAGCTTTTCAGGTAAACAAAGGATTGGTGACAAATTATACATTCATATCGTGGTATTACTCTTGTGTATCTTTTTAGACTCACCTTTCCTTCATACGTTTTTTCACATGAATTTAACTTATGGGATAATTTGGTTGGAGTTCTTTTTTCGAAAATCTGTATAGCCTCGAATTTGTCAAGTTTTAATCGTAAATTGTCTGGAAATTTATCGTTCAAGTAATTATTCGCCATTTGGTTTTCTGTTTTCACTGCAGGTGGACAACTTTCACACTCAGATTTGCACGTAGTTTTTGATAGAGACTTCAGTTCAGGGATCTCATACTTGCATTCAAAATCAATGAATATATTTTCATTTATTTCATTGGTCGGATTATCGTTTTCTATTTTCACAATCGGTGGATTACTTTGATGCTCAAAATGGGTTGCAGATAGAGATGTCACTTCAGTTTTAGCATCTCTAACCTTCTTGCACTCCAACTCCATGAAATTTTTCTAAAATAATAATTGTGTAATAGTTTTTATTAGTGAAAAATACGAACATAATTCAAATCATTGAACTCACTGATATTTTACGAAACGTGAAAGTTTCAAGGTTTTCGGCTTTGCAAGATTCCACCGAATCGAAAACATAATCATCGCCTGCAGCCGTCAGAGTATCGCTCTGTTCTTCTTTAATCCTGAAAAATAATTGGGTTCAAAAATATATGCGTTATGGGACTCTATGTAAGACGCCTAAATTTTACCTAATAACGTCACTGCCGTTTTCCATTGCTTTCTTGATTATAACGTGTAAATTTTCTTGAGAAATATTTAAAGTTAAACTCGTCGAGTAACCAACACTGTACCGTCCCGAATTTCGTAATTTATAAACAACTCGCTCGTCGACGAATTTAGCTCTTCACTAGCCACTGTTGTACGCACTACTCGTTAAAGTGTATTAGCGAGAAGACGCCGCGATTGTGATAGCTCCTTTGGCGGCACTTTTCCCCCTCTACCATCAACGCAGTAACAGAGGCACTCGCGTGACGTTAAAACCCCACCAATTTGCCATGAAAATGTCGTTCATTCAGGCGCACACCTTTTTTCACACCTCACTCGCGATATATGAATGGAAGCATTTTTTCGTCAAATAAATACCTCTTTGAAGTCACAACAATTCAGTACACAATGAAATGACACGTGTGATACCAAAAACGAAGTTTAATTAGTCACTGGAGCTTAAATATATTAATTTTTTTACAAAAATATTTTTCAATGAAAAGCCCAAAAATCAAAATTGAGAAGTTTCATACTCAAGATGATCTCTGGAATTTTTCGTTATCTCTCGCGCTCGCGTGCCTCGCTCTCGCAGCTAATTGCACGGCACGAGCTTGGGGTCGAATGACTCACATAGATCGCAGCTCCTTGTACTTTTTCATATCTTGTGCACATGTTTACACTTTCTACACAGGTACAGTACCCGCTGCGACTCTGCAGAGTAAACAACAAAGTATAGCACATATCTACATCGTCGTACGCCACAGCCAAGTAATTCTTGTGCAACAAAAAGTGAAATAATTAATTCAAATTATCGAGTGATCTTGTGCATCGAGTGCGCGAGCGAGTGTGCATTGAACAATGTATTGGGAAGAGTACGAATCCGATGAAAATCCCTACCAAGATCAGTTGGCGATATTGAGGAGGATCCGCGAAAGGGTCAACTGGGAGAACTTCGAGGAGCGACGCGATCTACTCGATCGATTCGACCCCGTGATCAGCGACTGGAAGGGCCGGCCACAGGACCTGCGAGGCATTCTTCCCAAGCAAGAAATCGACTGGCTTCTCTCGGAGTCAACGAGGCACAGTTACGACGATAAACACGATCGAGGAAAACGATTCATCGGCTTCGTGGCCCGCAGCGGCTACGAGGACGTGCCCGAGATCGACGAGGACGGCCGGCCAATTTTGCGCCTCACCACGGCGTTGCATCGCTTGCCGAGAATCCACAAGCCCGGGACGCAGATCGTCGTCGATCTGTTCTGCGTGTACAGCAGGTACGACGCGAATTACACCGACACGGCGACCGGCACGACGCACTTTCACGTGGCCTGCCGGTTCGGCCAGGAGAACGTCGTGCGAGGTTTTCTCGAGGTAGGTCAGGATCCCGATTGTCGTCCCCCGACGAGCGGCTGCGCGGTCGATCCGCCGCTTCACTTGGCCCTGTGGAGAAAACACGAGAAGGTGTCGGAGTTGCTGCTGCGCGCGGGCGCCGATCCGAATCTGAGCAACGAGGAAGGCTGGACACCCCTGCACGTGATCAGCAACAGAGACGACGACGACGAGTTGGCGAGGGTGTTTTTCGAGATCTGCGACGGATTGGAGCAGACCGTGCGAGTCGACGCGAAAGATAAGGAGGGCCGAACACCGCTTCAATGGGCCGTGACGAGTCTCTTGCCCGACGTGGTCGATGTGCTTCTGGATCGTGGCGCGGATTTGTCGAGCTTCGTTTTCCCAACCGAGAATCACTTCGACGAGAGATTCGAGGAATGGCGCTATCACGAGTGGGATTACTTTCAATTGAGAGTGGCGTCCGGCCTGCTGGCCTGCGCCGAACGACTCGAGAGACGAGGATACGAGTTGAGCCGAGGCGACGTTCTGACCATCCTGAAACTGTGCAATAAACACGGAGTGTTCCGGAGACCGGCGTATTTCCGGGAATTTTGGTACAACGACGAGAATTTGACCAGCACCCTCGAAGAGATCAAGATGAGAGACGACGATCCGTCGAGTCCGTCGCTGCACGATCTGGTGGTCCGCACGCGTGGCAAAGAGCAGGAAAAACTGCTCGCGTGCATGGATTACTTCGAATTCGCGCGCGCGGAAAGACGACTCGACAGCGGCAGTCAAACGGCGTCGTGCAATCTGCATCTGTGCGAGATAATGATGAGAGGATTCTGTCGACGATGGGCCTTGGATGCGTTCGTGCGGCTGACGCGCTACCGATTGCCGATTCTCTGCTGCGACACGATCGTCGAGCGGCTGATGAACCAAGATCTGTGCAATATCTTCTTGGCGGCTACGCAGCGCGTATAAAATGTTTGTGGCATTTTTTGATGGTATTGCACGATTAAATAAATAAAGGAAAAAATTGAATTTATTAATTTGCTTGCATTTTAGTTTCTTTTTTATTTTCATTTTTCTGTCCTGGTCCTGTTTTTTTGTATCCGCACACCGAACTTGATGACTAATGATTATGCTATTAGACTAATTATTGGTAAAAACTTTTAATTTTGGACATAATATAATGCGCGAGGATTGAAGAAAGTAAAATTAATGTTGATATTGAAAAAACAGTTATATAGCTATTTAGTCAAAATAAGTACATTTTTCAATATTCAGTCTGTCACAATGTTTTTCGTCAAAAATGAAGGAAGAACCTATATGGTGTTTTGAAATCGTCTTCAAATAATTCATAATCAATCGATTTTCATCAACTAGGAGTTTTGAGAAAAACTCAAAACAATAACAGAAAAAGCAAAAATCGTTCTGCATCTAAAGTGTTATATTTTCTATCATTAACATAAACATTGAATCGTTGAAGGGATTACAAACGTCGTTAAGCCCTTATACTATTGGAGGTCATGTTCCAAAGCACATTGAAGTAAGCAGCCGACGTTTTGACTATCTGCAAAATCACGCATATTAACGCCGTGCAAAAATGAAAATATTCTTACAAGAAGAGTCTTTCACAGATCTTCAGAAAACTTTTAGAAGATATATATTATTACATGTATTATACATTAAGAGCCACGCAAAAAAATTTGGGGAAGATGTCGCAAATGAAAGGCTCTCCTCGTTAGTACATACAGTTCCATAAATTGAACCTTGAGCGCAGCTCACCTTGGCGAAACTCTCGATCGACAGAGTGATGAGCTTGCCGGCGGTCAGGCTGAACGGTCGATTCGACCAGCCGAGGACGAGGACGACGCTGCGGGCGTCACCGAACGACAGCTTGTGCCAGTTGCTCATGTACACAGATCTGCCGAGCTCTTCGAACTAAAGAAAATAATAAAATGAAATAAAAAGCTCGAACCAAAGTTTTCCTCCTTCGATTTAAAGGTCGCGTGCGCCGAACCTTGTCCGAGAGAATCTGACCGTAGTAGCACAGAACGAATATGTTGTAATTCATAGTGAGCAACGTGATGATGAGGTTGTAAGCTACCGTGTAATTATGCTGAACAAATGCCTGTCGAGAAACGAACGAATACTGTAAAAATTGTGTATTTCAAGTGTGCATACCTTAATGACCTTTTACTTGTTATATAATTTAAAATTACAGTATAGTTACGCTAAAAAAACCGCTGCCAATGTATTGGCAAGTAGCTTCCTCATACTTTTTCTTTAACTTGAAAATAATTTGGAAATATTAATATCATCTTTTCTAATTTTTTCCACAAAACAGTTTTAATCATAAATTATTTCTGTTTGTGGAATCAATTTCCAATGATCTTCTATTCTTTGATATATAATTATTATCGAATTTTTTTCACGATGACCTAACATTTAAGGCAAAAACTTAGCAAAAACTTGAATGCTGTTGATATTTTATGAAATTTAGTTGCAATACTCGCGCTAAAAGTGACGCATTATGCTTAGAAAAATACAAAACTCAAAAGTAAGCGTGCTGAAATTGGCAGGGATGGATAGTAGTTGGTGAATAACCGCTAGATGGCGTATGATCGAATTATCGGACACTCAAAAAAGATAGTGTTCTGGCAATGTATCATCATACGATCAAGTCCAATAAAAATATACTACTACTCAAAAAAGAAAAGACAAAGTATTAGCATTAAGTAAGAGCGATTTTAGATACTAGATTTCAGTTGATTCTTGTAGCACGTAGCTCAGTTATGAAAATAATGCTTACGGTAGTTTACTTGAATTTTCAAGTAAAAAATTTTTGTTATACGTATCGATGTATCGTTTGTGATGCATGAAGGACCTATTTGTATACGAACGCTCATCAAGTAGTATCCAACGAGGCAAATAAGTATCGTATTCCCTACGAGCTCCACGAAGCTGAGTTCGTTGAAAATACCACCGAGCTCGATCGCCAATCTGCAAACGTTTTTATTTTTTAATTTCTGCTTAAGGACATCGATATCATTGTATACGTTCGAGCTCACCCGTATAATTTCAATTGATCGTTAACGATTCGGGCGAGTATTCGATTGTCGAACCTGTCGACGGCTCGCTCGATCGTCGAGCCGAGCACGTCGACTCGGCTGGAGATGTGCATGACGAACCAGATGAAGATGCCGCACACCCCGCAGGAGATCGTGTGCCTGACGGCGCTGCCGAGGCAGTGCAGGGCAAACACGTAATCGTAGGCCGGTCGAGTCTGCCGCAAGTCTCGTTTAGACTTTATAGAAAGGAATGATAACACGATGAAATGCACTCACGCGAGGATTGAAGAAAATGAAATTCCCTTGATAGGCGAGGGGGTAAAGTGTGACGTTGTTGACCACCTCGGGTGATTTCAGGAGCGGCATGAGAGACGAGTAGCACATGCCACCCGAGAAGTAAAGAGCCAGGCAGAACTTGGTCATGTTTCGAGCTCGCCTCGTGTAGTCCAGCATCATCGACCTCTCCAGTGGATCCTTTACATTTCGCCAGTCTTCGGCCATTCGTCGCATGCAGGTCTCGATTCGGCGACCCTTCCACAGCACACCGGCGTACTTGCTCATGCAGAGCATGGCGAACAGATTCGGGCCCATCAGCTGTATTTTCACCTGCGATTATAAAATGGAATGCGGTGGACAAATTTTTTGGATTTTGTCTGGACTATATAAACCGTGATGTTCGGTGCGTCGACGCAGATGAATATGCTCAAGGGTATCATCATAAAGAGGGTGACCAGGACGCTGCCGACGATGAGAAATCTTCGCAGGAATCTCGGATAGTCGCTCTCGACCGGCCAGAGTCCCACGGGTAACATGATGCAGCGAGTCATTTGCTCGGCGTACGAGTAGCCCTCCTCGTTCGTGAGTATTTTCTTCGCTTCCTCGGACATGTTCTCGCGTTTAAGTTTGCTTTCTTATTTTTTTCCCGTTAAAAAGTTTTTCTTTGCAGCATCGTTGTACTCCTTTCAAATTTAAACCCAACTCTTTATGCTCATTAGCTATAAATAAGCATTACAACGACCATCCGCGGGCGCATGATTCGCATTGATTTACCAAATGAGCGGTTGTGCGTAATTTTTTTTTTATTATTCATAGGGTTTGCATTATACTATGTGTACGATTCGCAAACCGCAGCGGCTATGATTTATAGGTACGTCTATTTTCATTGAAACGATTATCGCGACTCGATTTAAAGCAAGGCATATGATACTTTAAATTGCCTTAAAAATAAAATCGTATAAATTGTCAATTGTTAGAATATTTGTAATTTAAAATTAAATTTTTTTAGTACCATGTTCTAATATTATCTGAAGACTACTTAAATAGCGGACATAATTGAAGTTTACAGAATATAGCCAGAGTAATATTTCAATTAACAAATTGAAAATTTTTATGACCTAAACAGGATAAATCGTCGCCCCAGCGCAAGAACCGCACAAATAAACTCAAGTGGCAAAAAGGTGCCTTAATCCTATCCTTTTAACATAGGGATAAGGTTGTTTTTGCCACTTGAGTTTATTCGTGCGGTTCTTGCGCTGGGGCGACGAAATAGTTACATTAATTTTTTTTGTTAGTAGAACATAGTGATACTCTCATATTCTCGAAATCCTACATCGACAGAACAAAAATTTTGCCGGCCGTGAAGACTGGACCACTGGGACCAGTATCAGGACGAAGTTACGCAAGCTCATACAAATCGACGGCGCACACGTATTAACTCACGAAAACGAAGAGCTTGAGGAAAGAATTTTATGGAACAAAAAATACGTATGAATTTTTTCAAAATTTTTTAATGAGTTTTTGTATTTTTGGATATGATCATTTTTCGAAGAATCGAAAAACCGCTCCAACAATTCTAAAAATTCAACCGTGATTTTTAGTCAATTTCAAGCCATTTTTGTTCCATAACTTTTATTCATTAAGTGCTCCGCTTTCGAGAAGGCACATATGCAGAATAGAAGGAATCCAACGATCTAAGCGGTAAAAGCTTCGCAAGGCTAGAACTCGAATCGACCTAGCGTCGATTTTGTTTACCCTATTTCTCATAGAAATGATGAATTGTACTCTTTGAAAACCACCGAATTTTATATAAAAAAATCCTCGGCTTGCCATTGAATCAACAAAAAGCGCGAGCACAACGTGAGTTTTTAGAAATATTCGAGTTTGAAAGTTTACTTTAATTTTTAGAGACGAAAATAGAATACTTTGGAAAATTAGACCGCACCATAGTAGGCTGAAAACAATTTTCTATCTAAACCACTAATTTTCTCCAGCTTCATTCAGGTACTTTTTAAGCAAATTGAAAATTGAACAATATCAGCATCTAAAGTTTTATATTTCCTAACATTTACATAAGCATGAAATCATTGAAGTGGTTGCAAACGTGGTTTAGCTATATTATATTGCTAGAGGTCATGTTCCAAAGCACATTGAAATAAGCAGCCGACGTTTTCACTATCTGTAAAATCACGCATAATAACACCGTGCAAAAATGAAAATATACTTACAAGGAGAGTCTTTCATGTTCGAGTCGCAGAGATCTTCACCAAACTTTTTTGGGAGACAAAAATTACAGAGGATATCCAATTGTTTTAAATATTTTATAGGGTCAAAGCTTAAACAGTCAAGTTCAACTACCTGCAAAGTATTTGTACTTTAACTTTATCAAGTCTTGAAAACGTTTTTAATCAATAAACGCTTTGGCTCGAGTAGTTTAGTCCAAATACTTTAAAGAGCGAACTAATTTGAGCTAAAATTAACGCATTTCTGTAACGCATGTAACTATAAATATTGTTGCCAATGAACTGTAGAAATTTTTATAATATTAAACTCGATGTTCTCTTTTCTCCGAAACCCATTTCTGATCCTCGATTGAAATGAGTATATATTTTTTCAGGGCTTATAAGATCCACCACCAAAAAAGTTTGGCAAAGATGTCTATTGACTCGCAGATGAATTCAAGCGCAGCTCACCTTGGCGAAACTCTCGATCGACAGAGTGATGAGCTTGCCGGCGGTCAGTCTGAAAGGACGGTTCGACCAGCCGAGCACGAGGACGACGCTGCGGGCGCTGCTACCCGACAGCTTGTACCAGTTGCTCATGTACACCGATCTGCCGAGCTCTTCGAACTGAAGAAATAATTAAATTAAATAAAAAGTTCAACATGAACCAACGTTTTTTTCGTTCGATTCGTGCGCCAAACCTTATCCATGAGTATCTGACCGTAGTAGCACAGAACGAATATGTTGTAAGTCATGCTGAGCAACGAGATGGTGAGGGTGTAAGCTCTCGTGTAATTATGCTGAAAAAATGCCTGTCGAAAAATGAAACGAATATTGTAAGAATTGTGAATAAGTCACAAGTACTTTTAATAAACGTTTTCATTGGAATATTTGAACAGGCATACTTTATTGGCCTTCTACACGATGATATATACTTAAAAAAACCGATGATATTGAAGGTAATCAATTACCAATATTTAAGTTAATGTAACCAATATTATAAGTACGCAATAAATTAACTTTTGACCAATATGTGAATTTATCGGTAAAAACTTGAATACTATTGATATTTCATGAAATTGAATTGCAATACTCGTGCTAAAAGTGACGTTTTATGCTTGAAAAATATTAAACTCAAATTTATTGCAATACCAAAGTAAGCGCGTTGAAGATCGCACATACTTTAACTCTTTTTCAGAGATCGTAGTAGTAGTCGATGAAATACCGTTAGATGGCGTATGATCGAATTATCGGTCACTCAAAAGAGAGAAGACAAAGTATTAGCATTAAGTAAGAGTGATTTTAATACTCTTGTAATGGTTTTATTGTTGGTTTCCTTAAATGTTTGTTCGAGACCCTTGTTATATAGTTGCACATATAGTCCAGTTTTGAAAATAATGCTTCCGGTAGTTTACTTGAATTTTCAAGAAGAAACTTTTGTTATACATATATCGACGGGTCGTTTGCGACGCATGAACGACCTATTTATATACGAACGCTTATCAAGTAGTATCCAACGAGGCAAATAAGTATCGTATTCCCCATGAGCTCCACGAAGCTGAGTTCGTTGAAAATATCGCCGAGTTCGATCGCCAAACTGCAAGGGTTTCAAATTTTCGATTAACGACATCGATAGGTCCCAACTATTGTACACTGAGGAAAAAATTACATTGATTCAACAAAATTATTTAATTAAATACAATCTATGAAATAATTTCATTGAAATAATCTTTTTTATTTCATCCAACAAAATATTCAATTGTTTTTACCCGAGTTTCATTGCTTCAATCAATCATTTGATTAAATTAATAGTAAATAAAATATTAAATTAGATTTCATTGAATCGATGAATTTTTTTTCTCAGTGAACGTTCGAGCTCACCCGTATAATTTCAATTGATCGTTAACGATTCGGGCGAGTATTCGATTGTCGAATCTGTCGACGGCTCGCTCGATCGTCGTGCCGAGAACGTCGACTCGGCTGGAGATGTGCATGACGAACCAGATGAAGATGCTGCAAACCCCGCAGGAGGTCGTGAACTTGACGATGCTGCCGAGACAGTGCAGAGCAAACACGTAATCGTAGGCTGGTCGAGTCTGTCCACATATCTCATTTAGACTTCAGAACGAAAAAGAAAAAATAACCAAACGTGTGTATATTTACGCGTGGATTGAAGAAGATATAATTTCCTGGATAGGCCAGGGTGTGCAGCGTCACGTTGTCGACGACGTCGGGCGACTTGCTGAGCGGCACGAAAGTCGAGTAGCACATGCCGCCCGAGAAAGTCAGAGCCAGACAGAACTTGGTCATGTTGCGGGCTCGCCTCGTGTAGTCCAGCATCATCGATCTCTCCAGCGGATCGACGATTTTACCCCAATCCTCGGCCATGCGACGCATGCAGGTCTCGATTCGGCGACCCTTCCACAGCACATTCGCGTACTTGCTCATGCACAGCAGGGTGAACAGATACGGGGCCATTAATTGTATTTGAACCTGCAATTACGACGATAATAAACCAATTTTCTGGATTTTGTCTGGACTATATAAACCGTGATGTTCGGGGCGTCGACGCAGATGAATATGCTCAGAGGTATCATCATGAAGAGGGTGACCAGGACGCAGCCGACGATGAGAAAGCTTCTTAAGAATCTCGGATAGTCAGCATCGACGGGCCAGAGTCCCACTGCTATCATGATGTATCGAGTCATTTGCTCGGAGTACGAGTAGCCCTCCTCGTTCGTAGACCTTTTCTTGACTTTTTCGGACATGACGTTTTTTTTTCGTGTTAAAAAGTATTTTTTTTACCGCTTCGTAACCCCTTTAAAATCCGAGCTCCGACGCTTTACCTACTAGCTAAAAATATAAACGCTTTAAAGCAGTACCGCGCGCATAATTCGCATTGATTTACCAAATAAGCAGTTGTGCGTAATTTTTTATTTATCAAAGGGTTCGTAAAGAGTATAACCGACTGTGCGATTCGTCAACCGCAACACGGCTATCATTATGCCAGTTTTTTTTCATTGAAACGCGATACTTTAAATTGTCTTAGAAGTTGAAATCGTATAATTTGTCAATCGTTAGAATAATTCGTTATTCAAAATTACATTTTCTTTGTATCTATGTTCCTATATTAGCTAAAGACTACAAAATAAAGTATGCAGAATAACAACCAATCGTTAAGATTACGATTCACGAATTCACAGTGACGGTTCGCAGCATGTGGAGGTAAGTGGCGGAGGCCTTGATCACCTACAAAAAGGATACGTCGCTGCTGCATTCATCTTTGGCAGTTTTTTTTTTTTTTTAACGGTGTAACAACCGTCTTCTTACATTGGCGAAATTCTGCATCGACAGCACGAACATCTTGCCGGCCGTGAGGACGATGGGCCGCTGCGACTGGGCCAGTATCAGGACGAAGTTGCGGGCCTCGCGGGCCGGAAGCTCGTACCAGTCGACGGCGTACACGTATTTGCCCACGAGTCTGCACTGTATGACAAAAGAACTCGAACTTCGAGTCTGTATTTTTCACCGAGGGATAAATGTACCTGTTCGGTCAAAATTTCTCCCACGTAGCAGAATATGAATACGTTGAAGGTGAGGGCGATTAGTAAGCAGAGAAATGTGACGATGCCGATCGGCTCGCTTCGTTCGAAATCCTTTCGAAAAGTGACGATTATAAATAAAAATCCACAATTCGGTATCTAATGAAATTACCATGATCAGATAGAAGCCAACTAGACAGATGTTGATGGTGTTGCCGAGAAATTCCGCCATGCAGGTCTCGTGAAATATGTCCTCCAGATCGCGTGCGAAACTGCGTCACGGAATCGATCTTGATCATAATTTTCTAAAAAAAAAGGACTGACCGTGATATAATAATTACGCGATAATTCGTCGATGCTGCAGCACGACTCGGCTCAGAAGCTCTCGATCGAAATTCCGTCCGAGCTCGCGATACATGGCCGAGACGAAGGCGCAGCGACTGGCCACGTGCAGCGTGCACATGGCTATGAAGCTACAAAGACCCGTGGTCAGCGAGAAGGCCAGTATGCCGAAGCAGAAGTGCACCGAGAACACCAGATCGTAGACGGGCCTGACTCGCGGCTCGAAGAAGCCGAAGTAGCTCGGATAGCTGAGGTGTCGCAACAGAGTGCGATTGTCGGCCGACAAGAGGGGCGGTTGACTGAGGGGGAGGACCGTGACGTAGGGCACCCCGCCGCCGAACATAAAGACGAAACTGCAGCAGGTGAGTAGGCGAGCCGCCCGGGCGTTGCGCAGCATCAGTCGGCGCTGAGGATCGTTAGTGATGGAGCGCCAGTCGAGATGCATCTCGGCGAGACACGAGCCGATTCGATGGCCTCGTAGGAGGAACACGAGGTACTTGGCGACGTTCGTGATGCCGAAGACGCAGGCGCCGGTCGATTTTATCCTCACCTGTCGATACGGGATATGAAATTTTATGCAACGTGGTGATATGGAAGTATCCGGATAGATAAGAAGTGACTAGCAAAATTATGACTAATAATTTCATTTTTAATTTTGACGATAAAAACTCAAAGCCTGTCCGAATTCAATTATACATTTGGAAAATAAAATTGTAAATATCACAATGTAAAACGTGACCAGCAACTGATCGGAAGAAAAATCATTTTTTGTCAATATCCGGTTTAACACGACATAATTCGATTGTTTTATCTAAAATTGAACAATAATTGATTCATCCGTATTAATTAAAATTCAATTTAAAACTTCTTCGAACGTTTATAAGACTCGAATAAAATTGTGTCCGAACAATGCTACAATATCGTCGTACCTGATTGTCCTTTTCTATCAGAAAAGTCTGCACGAAGTAGGGCCCGACGACGAAGAACAGTATGAACAGGCAGAGAAAGTTGGCGATGGCGCGGGCGCGCGATGCCCCGCGGCTCTCCTCGTAGTCGCGGACCGGCCAGATGCCGAACGGCAGGAAGAGATTTCGGGTGTAGCCGATCGCGTACTCGTAGCCCGCCTCGTTCAGCGACAAATCGATCGACTTCCGGTTCATTTTCAGATCGTCGTATTATCGTCGTTCGTAATGCAACGTTTATCGAGGGCGGAGTAAAATTAAACGTGTATGTGTGTATAGTCGCTCGACCCGATCGGTTTACGATAAATAATTCTGCATCGAAATTTTCGATAATTGGGATGTGATGAGCGTTCGACTTTACAGTCATTATTATGCGAACCGTTTAAAAAATAGCCGATCGAACGAGTAAACGAGTAAGTATGATACAACTTCGGTAATACGTTTGCTATCGTCGATTTAAAAGTATTAAGAAACATTAAAAGCCGATCGTTGTATACTTAGATAACACGATGAATAATTCGCAACGGAAAAAGTTTCATATTACAATATATACAAAGGTGCAGCACAAAAAAAAAAACAAAACAAAACAAAAGCCGCACTTGTAAGCCGCCGCGTGCGGGGGAAACTGCATCTCTCTCTCTCTCTCTCTTCAGTGCCCTTTCTCCATTACCAGCAGTGAGCAGCTGGCAGCTGCAACGGACATGCGCGCGAAAAGGACAAAAGCTATCGTCGTACGTTGTGTCGATGAAGCTTGCGGCCTGCCTCTGCCTGGGGGGAATCAATAAAATACCTCCGGTGTAAGTTATACGCACTCGCGCGAATCGTTTCGGTGGCCAAAAGCACGTAGACTCGTTACACTTTTTTTTACAATTTATATTTATCGTGCAGCGTGACAATAACAACAACGACATCATGAAGCTGGAAAAGGAGCGTATCTCGCGAGAATTGCTGAGCGACAAGACCAAGGAATTATGGCAGGCCGAGGATTCGTTGCCACCCGCGAAGAATGCCGAGCTGTCGCAGAGTCTGCGCAGGCAGGGCAACGATCTCTACGTCAAGGTGCAGACGTCGGTCAACGAGCTCAAGCAGGAGGAGATCTATCGGCTCTACTCGGCCAGCATAGCGCAAGCTCCGCCCGATTCCGACGATCTCGCCCTGGCCTACGGCAATCGATCGGCCCTACTCCTGCTCATGAAGAAGTACAAGGAGTGCTGCGGCGACATCGACCGAGCCCTCGGGATAAGCAAAGTGGATTCGTACAAGATCAAGCTGCTGTGCCGCAAGATCGAGTGTCTGACGGCTCAGGGCTTGCCGGGCAGCAAGCACCTGTACTCGGACGCGCAGGCACTGATGAGCAAAGTCACCGAGGAGGACAAGGATTACGGCACTCTGGTGAAGCTGATGGAGAAGGCCAAAGTCTCGTCGAGGAGTCACGTCAAGAGCGAAGAGATCAAGAAGGAGGATGTCGTGCCGAAGCACATGAAAATTTTGATGCAGAAGGAGAGGGAGAATCCGTTCGACACCGTGACCATTCGGCAGGACAAGAAGTACGGCAGGTACCTCGTGGCGGGCAGAGATCTCGAGGCCGGCGAGATCGTCTGCGTGGAGAAGCCCTACGTGAAGGTCGTGAACGCCAACAACGCACACATGTACTGCAGCCACTGCCTGGCGCTGTCCTGGGCGACCGTGCCCTGCGACAACTGCAGCCTGTTCATGTTCTGCTCGGACAGGTGCAAGGCCGAGGCCTGGGACAGGTATCACGACGTGGAGTGCAGAGTCGCCGCGCGTATTATGCCCCCTGGACAGCTGACGCTGGACACGGTTTATCAATTGCTGACGATCAAGGAGACGGTCTGCGGTATCAGAGAGGCCAACGGTATTGGTCGATTGAAGGCAGCCATTCGACAACTGGACAAAGCGAAAGGTAGAATTGATATTTATTTTATTAGATGTTTGGTTGGATTTAATAATGATTCTTGAATGATTGTGTGTTCAGGGCAATGTACGAGAGGGTTTTTCAAGGACAACGAGTGCAAGAAAGTAGGATTCGAGGCATTGTATACGTTGTGCGATAACATTACTCAAGAGCGTTTAGAGATATATATACCAAAGAGCGTATTCATTTTGATAACCCTTTTGAAATATACACCTCTATTTGGAGATGACTTGAAAGAAGAAGAATTTGAAAATATAGTAAAAAACGAAGAGATTTTATTCGTTGGAGCTCTCATACTAAAGTTGTACAAAATTAACAAGTTAAACTGTCAGACACTGCCAGGGCACTTTGCAGGAGCGTGCAGAAAGTCAAAAGATACTGTTCAGTGCCATATACAAATGTGTTGTCAAAGAGGATGCGGTGTTGTGCCAATAAACAGTTTGATCAACCATAGCTGTGATCCAAATGTAAAAAATGTTGTTACATCGTCGCAAAATTTTATTTTGTATACTCTCATGCCTATAAAGAAAAATAGCCAGGTAAAGAAAAGACTTTTTTCTCCAAAACTATTTAGAAATTAATTACTCTTCATTCTTTGTTGCAGTTATTTATCACATACCAACAAAACTTTTATGATATGATTAGATACGACAGACTGACAATACTACAAAATGGATATAATTTTCTTTGCGATTGTCCAGCGTGTCTGGAAAATTGGCCAACTATAAAAGAATTGTTGAGAATGATTCAGGTGATTATCAAATATGTGAATTACAAATTAAACTATTGAACTTAAACTCATTGGAACATTGCTTTATAGGAAAGACCAGATGTTTATAGGTTGATGTCAAGCCCAAAAGAACTGAGCCTTTTATACATAGAAAATGAACTTGTTAGAACTATTTTAGAAAATCCTGAAAATGCCAAACCCAATCAGAAAACCATTCAGAGTCTTTCAAAAGCTTTAGCTAAGGCAGCTCGTCAACTGAAACAACCTTCGGTTGTACTGTGGAAATTGAAGTCCAGCATGCATGCAGTTTTTGAAATGCTCTATATTAAAACTTGAAAAACCAACAATTTTATGAATTAATAAGTGTTTTTGAAAGAAATCGTTATTAACGCACAAATAGTTTGGAAAAATGTTTTTCATATGAATTATTATTGAACCATTGTAAAAATTTTACATGTTTAATTGTATCTTTACAAACTTAGATGATAAAGAATGATTTTTAAATGAATTATTTCTATTTATTCACTACGACCTACTAATGCCACTGTAAAACCTCAATAAATTATTTTTTGTCCAGTTATCCCGAATTTATAAACCATCAACAAGCGCTTTTATGTTATGTATCTTGGATGGTTGGACTGTGCGAATTCGCGCATGCCATTTGCTTGCGATTTAGCAGACTACGCCGCGAAAATCAGCTAGCTAAACTGGTTTGAAGCGCGGGTGGCAGCGGCAAAACTGCATCGCTTGCTTGTAGTCGATTAATTTTTGTATAAATATCAAGCTCGAGTGGTGAAAATTAAACAAAATGTCCAAATTCAATTTCGGAACTCCTACAACAACAAATGCTAGTACGCCTGGCTTTGGTTTTGGTACACAACCGTAAGTTTACAATTTTATATATATCTTAACCTCTGAATGAGAACTATTTTCGCGTAATATCTCTTATAATTTTTAATAAAAAAAATCTCTCTCGCGCGTTCCTAAGTTGTCATGAATATCAAAGAAAGATGTTAAATTTTTTTCCTTCTGATAATGCATAATTTTCTTAGAATGTCAAACACACATTTTCAAAATAACAATTGACATTGAAAACAATTCCAAGATCAAACACTTTGTATTTATGTTTATACAGGGCTGCACAACCTGCAACTGGGTTTGGTTCAACGTTTGGTGCCGCACCTGCTCAACCTGCGGGTGCAACCACATTTGGTGGAACACCAACTCAAGCTCCACCATCGTTTGGTGCAGCAACTGCCCAGCCTGCAGGTTCAACATTATTTGGTTCTACGCCTGCTCAGCCAGCAGCAGCCGCAACTACACCAAGTTTAAACTTTAGTTTTGGAAATAATGCAGCAGCTCCAAGTACACAAGCTGGAACTTTGACATTGGGTGCTGCTGCAGCCTCTAGTGGAGGTCTATTTGGTAATACCAGCCTACTTGGACAACCACAACAACAGCAGCAACAGCAACAGCAACAGCAGCAACAACAGCAACCACAACAGCAACAACAACAGCAACAAAATACTAATATATCCTTTGGAACACCAACAGCGGCTAAACCTCTGTCTTTTGGTCTTGGTTCCAACACTCCTAACACTGGCTTAGGAGGCACTGGAACAAGTTTATCGTTTGGTGCTACTGCTACAACTACAACTAGTTTATCTTTTGGAACAACCACTGCAACTAGTACCAGTGGCGGCTTAAATTTTGGAGCTGCTCCAGCTAGTGGAGGATTAACCTTTGGTACTACAAGTACAGCTGCTCCTGCTTCTTCAACTAGTACTAATTTCAGTTTTACAGCTGCAACTCCTGCTACAACTTCAAGTATGTTGTTAAACTAATTTTTGAAATTTGTTTTTCATTTAGATAAAATAAAATCCTTGAATTTTTTTTTATTAATATTTTGTAAACTGAATTTATAAAAAAACTGTTTTATATCTGAAGCATCACTTTTTGGTTCAAACACGGGTGGCCTTTTTGGAGCAAAATCGACAGCTACTGCATCGCTTACTACATCAACTACAACTACATCTACGAATCGTGGATTAGGCGGTTTAGATGTTTCAGTTACAAATAAAGGACTTACTCAAGGCAGTACCACTCCCACAGTTGCCAAAGAAAACCCTTTGCCCAACGAACTAATGCAAACTATTGATGGTTTCAAGTAAGAATTTTCACATAACTTTTAATATCTTTATCTTGACAACAGATGCGATTTTATTCATTCGCATTTCCGCAGAGAATTTGTCAAAACGCAAAAAGGATTATCTTCCGATGTAGCCCGCGGCTCGTCGCGTCCTCTGAATCGTTGTGCCGAAGACACAGCCTCGCTGATGGAGCTCCTCACCACTTTGGCGGGCTCGGTACAGCGCGACAGATCTCTGGCTGACAAATTGAAGCAGGATACGGCTAGGGCTCTGCAAAACGCCGAAATAGCCCAACGCACTCATGACACGCCTGCCGGCTTGCAGTACGAAAATAACGCGCCTCTTGTATTTTTCCTTGAATTGGCTGAAAATTTCGAAAACGATCTGATGCTGTTTAAATCCCAGATCGAGAGCACGGAAAAGCACATACAAACTATGATGTCACCAAAGACCCTCACGCCACAAGGTGGATGCAACATTTTTAATCATTTAACAATGTTTGTATTAATTCTCAAACTAACTTTGATGTTTTGAATTTATCAGAACTCACGACGGCAATGAGTAAATTACACGATTCACTTGTGGCCGTTGCTGGAAAATTACAAGGAGTTCATTCAAAAGTGCAACAGCAAAAGGAACAATATCTGAACATTAGGAAATATGTACTAAAAGATTGCACCAATGTGTTTGATGATATCAATAGTTCCAATGGAAAAGTAAACAGAACTAGTTTTGGAAAAGTAACCAGCGGGCCTACACCGTTCGGTCCAGGTGAGTTCTAATCCGATTTTCGAAGTATAATGTTTTTTCGAAGTATTAAGTTTTTTGTGTTTATGTAGGAACAAACAGAAGTTTTCTATCTTCGACCACAATGAATACAACGCAACCTCCGGCCTATGGAACACAAAATACTTTGGGTAAAATATCTTTTGATCTCAAATGAAAAGAACAGTAAATAATGCCATTGTAAATTCAATCTTTGAATCAATTTAACTATTTAGGTATTGCAAGGATCTAGAAGGTAGAACTTGTAATTTGATTCTCTTAAATGATTTTGTTGCATATCTTTTTTTCCATTATTTTCAATGATACAATGATAGAATACAATTGTGCAAACCCTACTTTCTTCACAATGTAAAAGTATGATCATTTTTCTACAACTTATATTACATTTCAGGACTTAAATAAAGTATGGCTGTGATCTTATTAATTATTAGAGGTACATAAAATTTACTCTGTTTGTAACCACGTTTATTAATGTATTGTAGCTCATTCATTATCGATATCAAAAAAACAAATTTGTGTTTTGACACGATGGTTTGATTTCTGACACGAGGTTGCTGAAATTCACTTTTCGCTACCGCAATGCTTTGGTCTTCATGCTTTTAACACAAATTTACTAAAAAAAAAAAAAAACAATCAATGTTTTTGAGATTACGTGCATCAGTGCTGTAACTATAATTTCGTTCATTTTGAATGTTTAAAGAGTCATTTGTTTTTTATTGTTCTAGTTTCACACAAAGAAACCATTTATTGCTTACCGAACTCACATGCTCATTACTCCAAAGTACGCACATAAACCTCTCTGTTCTGATGCGTTGCTTTTTCGCAGGATGGGGCAGCAGCGGCAACGCGACGACCGGCGGCTTATCTCAACCGCCCACGCAGGGCTTGACCTTCAATTCTCCGGTTAATCTGACAGCGCCTCTTTCCACTGGAGGGGATATAAATTCGAGTTTTCAACTACAAAAACCGCCCACAGGCAATAAGCGCGGCAAGCATTGATTAGAAAATTCAAGTGAAAGCGTAAAAAAAAAATGACTAATTGCTTCGTATCGAAAGTGAAAAGTGGATTTTTTCCTAATACAAATGTAGTCTGAAATGAATGTTGTAAGTTTTTTTTCTTTTATATTTATTCATGTATCTTAGTAGATAGTAATTTTTGTAAGATATGTGTTCATCTTGTATTATTCTTTCTGAAAAAAAAGTTTGTAAAGATGTTTTTGTTATACCTGAATCATGAATTTTTCTGATTCGAATCAGGAATATTGTACGTAATGAAGCGTTGAATTATTGTACTTTTATAATGTTGTAAGGTACAATTGCGGTACTTGTTGAAATAGGATATAAATATATATATATTTTTTCTATGGAAAGATGAAGAATAAATCGGTGATCGTAAATAAATTAATTTATTTTTATCGTAATTATTAATACTCTTTACACTTGTAAACGTTGTGATTATCAATATCTACATTACATCGTAAATTTAATATACAAAATTATGAAATGCTTCTAAAACAGAGTTTTAAACAATTATTTCTTGAATCTATTACATCTTATCTGCATATAATACATATATCTATTCTTAACGAGCTCGTATAGTTGCAATACAAGTATATTCAAACGTTATAAATGTATAATATTAAACTGATGATAGAAATCTGAAATCTATAATGAAATCTACAACTACTCATAAAGTTGATTTAAATTACAACACTCCAACTTGCACAATTGGAATTAATAACATGAAAGCTTCTTGAATATATGAATAAGCATTATTAGCCTGCAACAAAAAACATTTGGTTTTGTTTTGTAAAAAGTACGATAAAATCGCAACAAAAAATTTTAACTTAAAACTTACTTCTTTAGTTATGGTAGTGAGACCAACATGAATGTCGAATTTCGGAGTTTCAACTTTGTTTTTATCAATTTTACTGCTGTATAAATTAGATATGGACACCATTTGTGAGGACAGAATTTTTGTTATTTGAATGAGAGAATCACTCTCATTAACGGTACTACGTCGTTTCTTAATGAGAAGCAGTTCTGCAGTTTTGTGGAATCTTTCGACAGAATAGGCTGTAAATCGTGCCAATCCAGCTATGGCCTTAGCAAAAACTTCTCTGTTCGTTAATTTTTCATCTTCTAATTCAGAATTCATATCATTCCATACCTATGAAACAATAAAATAAAATTATTTAATATTTTTCAAATTCACGTGATTAAATAATTAAATGAAAATTCGTTGCAAAGTTCTTACGTCAACAAGTTTAGAAAAGTTAATCTCAATTCCTAAATCTTTACATGATTCTTCCAATTTTTGTTCAAGACTTTTGTTTTTATTTTCATCATCATCATCATCATAATTATCATTTTCAATATCACATAATGTTTCAACCTCTTCTAGTACTCCTTGTAAATAAGCCAAATCATCTATGTCCAGATTATCCAAATGTGTTTGAATTTTCATTTTACATTCTTTAGATAGTATTTCTAAAGCTTCCAAATGAACAAGACCCTGATAATCATCAAAAAGACTTTCAAAGCGAACTCTCTTGGCCATATTTTTTTCTTCCAGCATTTTTTCTTCTACGTCAGCTTTCTCTTTAGCTTCTCTTAAAATTTTTGATAAATTTGGTTTATTTGGATCACTCAAAAGTGCTCTCTTTTTCTTGAGACCTGGGTCACCTTCTTGAAGTACTTCCATTGTTTTTTTACCAATCACTTCAAGTGTATCGAGTCCACCTGCTATGACCTTGTTACTAGTAGATTCTACTAATTTTGTAAGGGTTGATACACCAGACATAAAATTACCAAAACCAAATGAAGTAGGTAAATACTGTATTGGGTTATCTTTTGTTTCTTCTGAAGGCAGTTCTGATGACTCCTTATCTACTGCATCTAGAATGATTAAAATTTTTTAATATGTTATCATGCGTTAATTTTAATATACATACCTTCTTCTATAGCATCTACAGATTTTGTCTCATCATCTGCATAAGTTTCAGTCTCAGCTAATTTTACAGGATCTGGAACTCCAATAGTTTCTTCTAATATACTTAAACCTTGACTGACATGAGTAGTTAGTGAAGATACACTAGCTGTGGCAGTATTTATTAAAGAACTAACACCCCAACCACCCCATCCACCCCATGAAGAATTGGAATTTTCTTCTTCTACACTGCTGGCTAGTTTATTTAATACAGGCTTAAACTTGTCTTCTGCCAATTTGTCCAAATCCTCCACATTATCCTTCATATTTTCCCAACCATCTGGTTTAAATAGATCTTTGAATTTCAAATTGGACATCAATTCTGCAGGTTCTTCAGAGTCACTCCTTCCAGAACCTACTTTTTCTTGTCCGCTCTTATCCTCGACACATTGATCCAGTTCTTGCTGTAAACTCATTACTGTATTTCCTTCATTGGAAATTTGTTTATTTATAACCTTACTTGGAGTTTTATTGTTAACTTCTGGTAGTTTATCTATCTTTTTAGCTCCCAACTTCTTAGCACCCAATGACGATGACTCTTTTAACTTTCGCTGCTCCTGTGTCCTTTTTGATCTTGAGATAGCTCCTGAATTTTTTTCTGCAGATTTAACAACAGTAGATTTGCCATCTTGTGGCATATCATCACTTGATTCACTTGGGTTCCTTAACTTTGTCTTTCGCTTAAAATCTTTGCTCAACTGATCCACTTTATTGTTAGCATTGCGAGTGTCTTTCTCAACAGCCTTATTATTGTCAGCATCTGTCTCCATCTTAGTTTTACCTAGATACCATAAAGAAACATATAAATAGACTCAGATATATTATCAGTGCTATATGCACAGATGAATGAAACTGAAAGTAATTCTTATCGCGCTTACCAGGCGGCATGCCACCAGTTTTACTCAACTGACTGGGGCTATCTCTTATTTTGTAATGTTTGCTTGTAGGAGTTTGATAAGCCATATTATCTGGAGCTCTGTATCCGCAATCATCATCGCTGTCAGAGCCAATACTTCTGTTCAGGGGTTTAGAGGAGCGTGATCCCAGCTTCTTCTTGGCACCAGCTAGCTTGTCATCAGCACTGTCGAAGTCATCCGCGCTGTCCGACGTAGACATATTCACGAATTACAGGCTTACCTATGAAAACAGATAAAAAAGAGCCTCAATTAGAGCGCATTTAATCGTAAAATACCAAAAAATGACTGGATCAAGTAAATGCACGAGTCGTCGCGAGTAAACGAAAAAAGAAAACATTTAAAAACGATCGAGTTTACGTGTACAAACCACTCGTTAATTAATCAGCGAACAGACAATCGTGAAAATATGGTGACGAATCGATGCAGAAAAAAATGAAGTTTTTACGTTGCAAATTGCGCTCGGCCTATTGCTGCGTAACTCTTCGTCGATACTTGCAAAGCACCACAAAATTGTCTTAGGATTTCCTTGATTTATCGTTTAAAGGGACTTCGTCGCCTTCGGCCCAATTCGATATCGAGGGAATCGCGAGCGTTGATTCCAGCAGAAGGCAGGAAAAACAAGATCGACAAAGTTTATACAATTGACAAATTTATCCGTGTCAAGTTTTTGCGCAGAAATTGCACACACATACACGCAAAATCGGACGCGCAGACGACATGTTGGTGCGTTACCATCAACGTATATATATGTACACACATAGGCATACACGTTAAACGCGTATGTGTATATGTATGTATACGCTGTATGTATACATACAAAGAGACGTCTGTGTTGCGCGCTCCTTCTTTATCTTCGAGAGCGCTTATAAATATATATGTTAATTGCGTGTACTCCGCGAAGCTCACTATATAGTCACTGGTCGTGTACTGTTAATATTATACAGGCGCAAAATGAATGATAATCGCGGCAACCTACCTGTGCTCACTGCTCAGTGCTTGGCCAATGTCAACGCGGCCAGTGCGCGACCAACGGTATGATTTTTTTTGTTCGCAGGATCTCGCTACATGGACGACGATGCCAAAAGCAGTGCAATTACACCCTCGCGGGCCACGACAGGTTGGTTAGGGTCAAGGTACTGCCTGCTGGCCCGTTCGTCGTTGCGATACGACCTCGTAGTACAAAACTACACTACTATATCGGCTGCAGCTGATGGATAGGCATTCAATATATATAGCTATACTACTTGTTAACGTGTAGAAATCCTTTTTGCGAGAGGGAGTCGCTCATTGTGTCGTGCACTTATGTATGTGGGTACATATACACACTGCACGTACACCTATATATACGCGCGGCTTATAGTATGTACCAACGCGAGATGGTCTATTCTAGTATTATATTTTTTGCAGTCGTCGCTCTCAATTTACACATCGTCGTTGCTCCGAAAGATGAGTTCTGCATGCACGTCGCGGGAAGCCGTACTACATAGGGATCCGCACGCACGCACAGTCGGAGCTAGATAGCACCCGAACGATCAATCGACTAACGGCGGATTTAGGGACACGTTGATCGTTTTGACGTTCGTGCATTTACGTCGTATCGGGTACTCATTATAGTTATGACAATTCGCAATCACTGCGCGGTATCCAGAGACCGATCAACAAATGTACAAATTCAAATCTAAAAAATCGATCTATATGCAAATTATTATTTTGCAATAATGAGTGCCAAGTTTTTGAATCATTTCAAGCAAGTGATGAAAATTGAAATCGCTGCTAGATTTCTAAAAAAAAAAGAAAAGCAAAAATGTATCTATAAAGTACGATTTTTATTATAAAAACATCAAAGATTACATTTAAGTTTATAAAATCTTACTCAAACACAATTATAAAATTCAAAATGTAATAAGGCATCAAAGTACTACACTAAAATAAAAATGTTTTACATTATATGTTATTAATTCAACTTATAAAATTACTCAAAATATGTTTGAAAATTATTTTAATGTATTGGATGTCCTAAAAGAGTATCTAGTAATTTGTATTGAAAATTCTCAAATATTATAAAACCACTGTCTATAAAATTACCTTAAATGTCGAACAAAAGTTATCAAAGGGTACAGTAAGACCATAATATTTTTCGAAAACCTCATCAAATACATTGAGTAACATACATCTAGATAAACTAGGTTGCGGTAGAACATCAGCTAATTCATCCATAATATCAGCCATAGTTTTTATCAAATCTTTGTTGATAACATTTTTCTTATCCTTATTTTTTGCAAGAGTATTTTTCGAACGGAGAAATCTATCTATCAATGGATTAATTCTCTTTATAAATTTCATTTCTGTGAATCCTGTAATTGGTTCCAAAACCATTTTTCGATTCATAAATGCTTCATCTACCCCTGGTAAAATAAGAGGAGGCCAATTTCCCTCACAAGCAATGCATTTGCACACAAAATTTGTATGTCGCTCTCTCCTATGCATCCGCGGAGACTCATAAAAAATGTTATTGTAAGAATCTAGAAGCTGTATAAAAATTGAATAACATAATATGCAGTTAACTATATATAAAAACATTTATGACAATGAATACTAAAGGGTACCTCAGTTCCACTGGCAATTGGTTCCACAGCATAAAAAACATACTTCATCTCATCTGAAAAACATCTTCTAATATTTGGTGCACAACTATTATTGATCATACTACTGATAAGTCCCATGCAAAAACCTCTAGTTCTAGTGCTTCTTCCAGCTAAGAAAGGATTCATTTGTGAACTTACAGCAGTTACATTTGATATCTAATGATTAGGAAAATAAACAAAATATAAGAGTAGATCTAATTATGTAGTAAAATAAAAAAATCATAATTGAAAAATATTTTTCTTACACTATGAGAGTTGAGAGCACTTATTTTAACCAATCTCAAAAGCAAGGATCCAATATAAATGAATTCTTCATTCTTTGAAAAATCGTTGTATGACATGTTTTTCAATTTTTCAGAAAAGAAAGATATATACTTTACCAAACAAATCAAGGTCTTAACAGTATATATATTTAAAAAATGATTTACTTTCTTTGGTAAGTCATAAGACAAACTCATTACTTTACTAAATAAATTAATAAAATTTTTTGGTTCATCATTCCCTATTTTAGCTGTAAAATATTGGAATGTAAACCATATAAATTGAGTTATAATAGAAAATTTTAAAATTTTAATAATTTTAATTAAATTTACCTTGATTGTTTTTGGTAATGTTCAGTTTTGATTTTAGCTCATCGATGGTTTTACTGTCTTTCATTAATGTTATGATAAATTTAAGATTCAAGTCGATCCATTTAGGAATTTCAGGATCACATAAAATAAGATATGGTGTTATTGAGCAATCAATCTGATGATACTCTTCCCAGGCCATGTTTTTACATTTTAGCGAGCAAAACATATAATCATGACATGTTTCACATGGGATTCCAGTCCATGCAACTGATAAACATTGTGAACAGAATACATATTGATTGAAAAAATGTGGTCCAATCATGCAAGGTTTTTCCACGAGTACTAAATCGCCTGTTTTAAAATCAGTTTTGGCATATAGACCTCTGCCCATATTTTTGGTTGATTTTATTTCAACAAAGTCAAAAGGATCAACTTTCTCTCTATCATTTATAATTTGATTGCACTCTGCTTTTTCCTGTAAGAACTTTTCATTCTGAGGTTTGAATTGCTTCATCGATGACATTGACGATTTGGTTTTTTTAATGATATCCGTAACAAAGGTGGCCTCCTCAGTAGATAATTTAGATTTTTTCAAGATTTGATCAATCTCTTTCATAACAACATCTTTCATTGAGGACCCAAGAGCAGCCAGACATTTGGCTTTTTGACAGTATAGTTTCACTTTCATCGTAATCGAATCTGATAATTGTAAGGCTTTATCTAAACTCTCTATAGCTTCATTGTATTTATTGATGTGTAGTAATAAATATGCTCGATTACTGTAAGCATACATTAGTTCTTCAGATTCACTGGGAGCATAAGCTATACTTTTGTTATAATAATACAAAATCATTTTATGATCTTCGTCAGTGTGTTCTTTCTTTATGTAAATGTCATTGCCTTCCTTTCGGGCTTTGATCGATTCTTCTGCATTTTTTATTTGATACTTTATGTCCGATCGAAGCGCAAAATCTTTAATTTCTGGTCGCGACAATGTTTCAACTATAGCTTTACGTTCGGTGTCCATAATGAGTTAATCTATCTAAATTTATTAACGACCGATTAAAATCATTTGAAACTTAAAATTATTCAATATAGTACCTTGTTAATTTCGATGAAAAGTCTTTGCACGTATTTCAGGAAAAATAAATTCAATGGAACAAACGTTTAACAGAACAACGAGAGATCCAACACTTATTGCGACCTGTTGAGCACGGAGCAATGATCGTATTTGGGAATGCCATATGAACATTGAACGCGCGCTGACGATCTCAAACTCGCAGGTTTTCCCAAACGATATTCTTTTGTTCGTTCGCGGCTCGCCACTGCAAGCGCCGCACCGGCTTGATGTGTTGTGCGGTCTGTCGATGTACTTTTGAAATGTTTCCGTTGGCAATGCTGTTGAATACAGGCATCGCGTTTTGACTAACTGACAGACGGCGCGTAAATTAAGTTTTTTCAGTTTTGGTGGTTCGTTAATTTGATCATAAACAACGGCTACTGCAGTGAGTACACATTAGAACGCTTTACATCAAACTTTGATTGAAATAATAACTTTTGTATAGAACGACAAGAATCAGACTAATTCGAAATCGGAGTTTTTTATAAGTTTGAATTAAAGAAAATCAGTACAAACGCGATTTTTTCTTATGTATCGGGGTGGCATGGGATCAATGGATGTTTTTCAAAAAGGTATCGAGCTTTACGGACACACTGACACCCTCGATGCTCTGATTAAGTTAAATGTAAAATCGAGGGAGTAGCAAGCATACGATTAAAAGATGATTTAGAAGGTAATAAAAATTATTCAGATTCACGTACTTTGTAAATTAGTTAGTGCGTTGTTAACCCAACATGTTGTTTCATTCAAACTTATTTATGTTATACTTATTAAAATCTTTAAGGAATAGTCTCAATCCAATTTAAACATTATTTTTACGCGTTCAAAGCAAGATTTAATTCAACAATCTATTTTTAATGTTTTGCTTATTTTCAAGCTTTAACAATCTGTTTCTCAGTTTCAATCAAGACATACTTTGCTATCTTTATCTAAGAGCATTCAATATTCGTTTCATTTTATACAACTGGGTGTAACGTTTCGGAATTACCTTTCGCAAATAATCTGATTCAAAATCTAATTTAAAATTCGAACTTGATGAATTTCAGTTCATCCATTAAAATTGTTTTATTAATATGATGGCATTGTGAAAAAAAATTGATCCATTAATAATTATGATTATTATTATTATTATTAAAACATCATAAGATGAAATATTAAAATTTGCAAAATATGTTTATAATTACACTCATAAGTTTAAGAATATGAAGGTTTCTAAACATTATACAAAAATCAGAATGTTATTAATTTGAAAAAACAAGTACAATCTGTAATTAACTAAATAAGGTATAATATGATTTAAATGTATTGGTCATTTATAATAGATGATACAAATTATTTCAATTCATAAAAGTTCTGCCCTCTGGAAAAATTATTTTTACTTGGAACAAATGTTATCGAAAGGTACAGTAAGACCATAATATTTTTCAAAAATCTCATCAAAAACATTAAGTAACATACATCTAGCTAAACTGGGTTGTGGTAGCGCATCAGCTAATTTATTCATCATATCAGCCATAGTTCGTATTAAATTTTTATTAATAGCATGTTTTTTTTCATGACGTTTTGCTCGAAGAATCCTTTCTATTAATGGGTTGATCCTCTCTATGAATTTCATTTCTGTCCTAAATGTTCTGATTTCAAGTCTCATTTTTTGTTCCATGAAATCTTGATCTACCCCTTCTATTATAAGAGGAGGCCAATCTTCCTCACAAGCAATGCATTTGCATAAGAAATTAGTATGTAGTGATTTTCTACGCCTCAGTGGAGATTCATAAAAGCAGTTATTGTATGAATCTAAAAGCTGTAAAATAATTTGATAACCTGATAATCAGCTGACTTAAAAAATATTTATAACAAACAATATTGATGAATACCTGAGTTCCACTAGTAATTGGCTCTAAGGCATAAAAAACATACTTCAAATCATCTGAAAAACATCTCTTGATATTAGGTGCACAACTGTTATTGATCATACTACTGATAAGACCCATGCAAAATCCTCTAGTTCTTGTGCTCTTTCCAGCCAGGTGATAATGAAGTTGTAAATTACTCACAGCAGTTACATTTGATATCTAATGAATAGAAAAATAAACGAAATGTAAGAGTAGATCTAATTATGTAGTAGATTAAAAAAATCATAATTAAAAAATGTTTTTCTTACACTATGAGAGTTGAGAGCACTTATTTTTACCAATCTCAAGAGCAAAGATGCAATAAAAATAAAATCTTCATTCTTTAAAAAATCATCATATTGCATATCTTCCCATTTTGCAGAAAAGAAAGATGTGTACTTTGCCAGACAAATTAATGTTTTAACGGTATAGACAGTTAATAAATAATTTATTTTTGATGGCAAGTCATAAGACAAACTCATTACTTTCTTGAATGAATTAATTTTTGGATCAGGATTGTCATTCACTATTTTTGTTGTAAAATAATGCCATAAAAATCAGATAAATTGAATTAATAGAAACATTAAATAATAATAATACATTAAAAGTTATGTTTACCTTCATTGTCTTCAGAAATTTTCATAATTGATTTTAGCTCATCAATCGTTTGATAGTCTTTCATTAATGTTATGATAAATTTAAGACTCATGTGAATTGATTTAGGAACTTCTGGATCACATAAAATGAGATATGGTGTTATTGAGCAATCAATTTGATGATACTCTTCCCAGGCCATGTTTTTGCATTTTAGAGAGCAAAACATATAATCATGACATGTTTCACATGGGATTCCAGTCCATGCAACTGATAAACACTGTGAACAGAAGACGTATTGATTGAAAAAATGTGGTCCAATCATGCAAGGTTTTTCCACAAGTACTAAATCGCCTGTTTTAAAATCAGTTTTGGCATATAAGCCTCTCCCCATATTTTTTGTTGATTTTATTTCAACAAAGTCAAAAGGATCAACTTTCTCTCTATCATTTATAATTTGATTGCACTCTGCTCTTTCCTGTAAGAACTTTTCATTCTGAGGTTTGAATTGCTTCATCGATGACATTGACGATTTGGTTTTTTTAATGATATCCGAAACATGGTTTGTCTCTTCAGTAGACAACTTTGATTTTTCAAAAATTTGTTCAATCTCATTCAATAGATCATCTTTCATTGAGGAGCCAAGAGCAGTCAGACATTTTACTTTTTGACAATATAGTTTCAGCTTCATCTTTGCGGAATCTGACAATTGTAAGGCTTTATCTAAACTCTCTATAGCCTCACTATATTTATTTACATGCATTAATAAATATGCACGATTACTGTAAGCATACATAAGTTCTTCAGATTTACTGGGAGCATAAGCTATGCTTTTGTTATAATAATACAAAATCATTTTATGATCTTCGTCAGTGTGTTCTTTCTTTATGTAAATGTCATTGCCTTCCTTTCGGGCTTTGATCGATTCTTCTGCATTTTTTATTTGATACTGTATGTCCAAACGAAACGCAAAATCTTTGATTTCAGGTATCGATAATGCATCAACAATAGCTTTACGTTCGGCGTCCATAATACTTATGGAGTTGATCTAAATTGAAAAAATAAAAACGTTTAAACTCATTTGAAATTCAAATATTATTTAATCAGTAGTACCTAGTTAAAAACGATGAGAAGCCGTCTGATATTATATGTTACCGGACGATGAGCTTAGATAAAACAATGACCAAGTAGAACAGCGTTAAACCCAACACTCACTACGATTTCTCGAGCAGTAATCGCACTTGGGAATGCCACCGAAGAGATTTCTGCGTATAAACGCGCGCTGACGATCTCAAACTCGCAGGGTTTCCCAAACGAGATTCTTTTATTCGTTCGAAGCCCGCAGGTCTGCAAGTTTCAACTTTCAATCCAACTGAGATTGGCTTACTGACAGATGGCGCATAAGTTAAGTTTTCTCGGCATATGTAATATATAAATTTCATGATAATAGCTTGCGAATTCTGGTTTTCAACTTTAAAAGAGAAAATTCATTTTTTGCATGTACGTTGAGAAATTGTACTTTCGGTTGAAAAAAGAAAACTATTCATTGCATGGATCCAAATCCAATTCAGTACTCTTCAAATTATCCAAATCCTCATTATTAATCTATCTACCATTGTTCAATTACATGGCTATGATATGAATGAAATCAACTATATTCTAACAATTATTCACCATTCAACTGAAATTTTTATTTGTCAAATACTATACCAAATTAAAAAGTTTACCATACAGTAATTTAAAATTGTGGTGATACTTTTTTCAAAAGATTAAATGAGTGCAAGTATGACAGTCTTATCCCAATTCAAATCTAACTCACGAATCTTTTATTTTTCTAATTTTGGAATAGTTGAATATCAATCTACTATTGAACAATTATTTAATGAGCTATGATGGTAATGAAATCAAACATATTCTGACAACTATTCATACGCAAAATGAAATTTTCTTTTTTAAACTTTAATTATACTAAAAGTCTAAAAAATAATTCAGTACGTGATTTTTAACACCTATTTTGTATAAAAAACCTTACTTATCATTCTACTTGCCCGGCTGTCTCAATCGAAATGGATGCGAACTTTTACAACATGATGAAAAGAATGCTTTGCGTACTTCCAATATATCTGAATTTATTTTATCACTAAACCAAATTTTTCAGTCTTTTTTTCAATTTTTTTTATGTTTATAACATAATGTTTGAAGACGATTCATTTTTTATGCAGTGTATTTATTACATTAATTACATCATGCACTAACTCTTTATCAATTTTGAACTCATGTCCTCCAATAAGCTTTTCTTATAAAAAGGAAAAAAAAGTCCACATGCTATCCAAAAATATTGGAATAAAAATTTTTTTTAGATGTTAAAGAATCATTTATAGCAATAATAACTGATATTATTAAATTTTCAGTATAAATTGACATTTCTTATTAAATTCTAACGTCATGAAATTGTCTTCGCAAAGTGTAATCTACAGTCTAGTTTTTATTTTTATTATTTTTATTATATGGGCCTCGAAGTAGCATCATGCAGAACGCAGCCACGAAGCACTAAACGCAGCGCTGAAGCAGCATCTTGCCAAACGGCGCGCCGAAGTAGCATCTTGCCGAATAGATTCTGAACTGGCATGATGCTGCTCTGCTCTGTGAACTGGCATCTTGCTGCTATAGGAGGCATCGATATGTTGTATACATCTACTAGACGTTTAAGACGCGCTTCGCGCGCGTCAATTTTGTCATTCGTATTTTGAGGTTATAACTTTCAGGCGCGCTTCGCGCGCGTACATTTTCAGTCAGTTTCGAAAAAGTTGCTATTTTGACCGTAGATGTCACTTTACTACGTTTCCACTCGAGTCAAAAGTCAGTCGACCAATCAGAGGCCGAATAGATTGGCTTCACTTTTAGGTCCATCTCTTTTTTATAAGTTAGAATGTCCAAAACAGTGGCCCTGTTGGTTTCCATAATATGCCGTTTGCAATGGTGTGGCCGAATACATGAGCGACGAAGATCTATTCCGTTTATGCGAGCAGAAAAACGAAAATAAATAACGACTATATACGATGTGTAGCAGGAAAAGGTGCAGAAGCAAAGAATATGTGGCGTCTGTGGATCCTGAACCACCGACTCGTCGATCACGGAGATTACGAGGCCTGCGAGCAAACGAAGACGACTTTTGAAGAAGAGTAGTGGATTTAAATGAATCTGTTCCTAGAGTTTCAGGAAAAATTCCTATAGTTGTATCGATCAATGCTCACAACTGTATTACTTCCTTGTTAATAGACGTCTCGTAAAGTTCATCTTCTGGAAGTTTGCCGCAACGAGTGTCAGTATTGCGACGACACCGGCTGTTGCTTATTTATTGGGATCCGAAGCAGCGCTCGTTTTTCGTTGAAGATGGCGGCGTACGCTCGGAATTTAACATAGGCTAGCTTATGGGCGAGACGTCCTCTTATGGACAAGGAGAGAAATTCTTCTCGCTCATAAGGGCCTATGTTAAATTCCTAGCGTACGCCGCCATCTTTAACGAAAAATGAGCGCTGCTTCGGTTACCCAAAATTCACACGTTAGAAGAGCCAATTTCCAAATTTACGAAATATTTTCCAGAAAAAAGAGATAGATTGCCTTTTGTTGCAGTCTACACGCTAAACCCAAAAGTAGAAAATATGTTGCTGGAAAGAGTAATCTACGCAGGTTCTTCTTTTAAAAAGTGAAACCAGCGTAGATTATACTTTTTGTAACATCGCCCATCACAGAAAAGAGTAACCTGCATGGACTCTACTTTTTAAAAGAGTAACCTGCGTGAGTTATACGTAAGTTATACTGCGTGTATTTTACACAAAAAGTTAAGTAAAGAATGTCTTTTTTAAAAAAGACATTCTTCACTTAAAATCAAGTCAAATCACTAAATTTGAAATCGCTGTACAAGTACTAAAATGCAGCTAGAGAAAAAAAATGAACCCATGAGTTTGATGGGAAAACTTTAAAGTCGATTATCTCAAAAAACTTCATTTTTAAGATTTTTCTAAATAATCTAGATCGAAAGATCAGGAACTTTTCCATCGATATAGAAATTTTCCAGAGAGGCGTTTTTTGATTTTAGCGAGATATAGCGAGAGAAAGAAGAAAAAACGTGGCTTTTTCGTGGTTTTTACATGCCCGGCCGCCTGGGAGCGCGAAAAAAACCACGTTTATTTCAAACCAAATTTTATTTCAATAATATCATAGCCAACAATAGTATGCATCTGAGTACCATATGAATAAATTATTGATAGCTGTTATTTCCTTTTGTCAAAATTTTGGATTAATATTGAAGTAGTGACCTTTAAAATAGCATATTTCATTAAAAAAAAGTGCTTTTCGGTGGCTGTATTAAGATACAAATTTCGGATAGCATGAAAAATTCTGCTGCGGAAATGACCCAGCCTTTACTTGTGTTGTCATATTTTTGCGAAAAGCCAGAATTATGTGTTGCTTTGAGTTTAGAACGACATATTAATCAAACTAAAGAATTAAGGTCTTATACGTAAAAGCTAGTCATTGCGTGTAGAAACCGCATAAATTTGTAACGGTCCCAACGTGTTGAGTAGAGAACTGTTTTTGTGAAATTTTACAATCGCCCAATTACACAGTTTGATGTCAAGTTTGCAAGTGTAATAATTAATTGAATTTGTTTATGTTCGATTTCAAATAAAGAGCGAAATTCATCTCTTTTATACATTTTGTTGTTTGCCTAGCAACCAAAGACTTAAGAGAAAGAAGAAATAATAATAGTTCTCATTCTCCAGGTTACCACGCGAGAGTGAAGAGCAAGTTGATCGACTTTTCTCTCTCGCTTTCAATCTTAATTGATTGATTGTAAAACTTAATCATCAATTTGATTAAGATTAAGCTCTCAAATGAGCGACAATTGTATTTATACTTTTTATAGTTCGATATAACGAGAAGTCGGTTATAACGAGTAAAAATTAGAAAAAATTTTGGAAAAATTGACGTTTATAACGAGAAATTGCGTGTTTACACTCGTAGCTAGATACTCGTACGCAAACTCAATAACACAGAATTATGTACAAAAAGCTTACTTTAAGCAAGTTAAATGATTAGTTTTACAGTTGCTTTCGTAGGGAAAACTTGTACTTTTCTCTTCGTAAAATTTGAAAATGGGAGATTTTAATCCAAAAAAAAGAAAGACATTATCAGTGAGCGATAAATATTCTATCATTCAAAATGGTAAATCTCATTCCGAAGTTTGCAGTACTTATGATCGACCGTCCTCAACTGTTTCGACGATTTGGAAAAAATCGTGAGAGTATAATAAAATCAAGAATTTCTAATTTTCATTTAAAACAAAAATCAGTAAAGCAAGTACAAACTAAAATTTTGAGTTTCACGAACAACATTTTTCTGTAATTTTTATAACTAATACAATTCATTTATGTTATTATCTATGATATTATTCATACCAATGTAAATAAATAATCAATACATATAATAGTCTCATCTTATCTGATAAAAAAATGAAACTGGTAAATAACAAAAAAATTATTCAGATTAATGCTCATGTCGGCTATAACGAGGACCGGATATAACGAGAACTTTTCAATGGTCCTGCGAATCTCGTTATAACCGGCCTCCACTGTATAAAGAAATAAATGTCGCTTAGCCAAACTAAGGAACTCGACGCTACATTTTTTGGTGCCCTGACCAGGATACAACGTTCTGTCGAGTCATCGAGTCTCCGATTTGTCCGACTACGATTGACAATACCGTCTACGAGCATCTTTCATCGGCGTTCGTCTTCCCCTCTGATGGTTCATTATTCCGCCTCGGCTGTCGGCAAGGCTGGAGATATTTAACAACAGTAACGAATTGAGTATTACATTTTTTGCGCGAGCATTCGTTAAGAAAGTTGCCGTAGAGTCAATTTAAAAATAAAATTCAAGATTCTTTGGATTGTCTGGAACATAGTTGCGGTTGTTTAATTGCGTTGCCATAGAGTCATCTCTGATCGTAATTCATTATTGCTACGACACACAACTAAAAATTATTTGTAGCCTTTATTAGTTGCTCGTAAAAATTTCACATCATGAACGGGCGTGTAAAATATATAAATCAAAAGCGAGCTTCTTTAAAGGGACAGATCACTCAGCTTGAGCAAATCGTCGAAAATATACCTACGGAACCAGCTAAATTAGCATCGTTAAAGGCGCGCATAGATCGCGTCAAAGTTTTGTTTGAAGGTTATGAAGAGTTGCAT